TACTGTAAGAAGCTGCCGAACTCTCCCAGCGTGGCACCACCGCCTTGGATCCTTGCTGGGAGGGAAGCAGATCTCCTGTTGCTCCACACCCTCAGCGGCACTTGGCGGTGTCAGCGATCTGGAGTTTTGCTGTTCTAATATGTATGTAGTGGAGTCCTTGTTCTAATCTGCATTTCTCTGATGACAAATAATGTGGAACACCTTCTCATATGCTTATTTTTCACCTGTATCCTTTCTCTGTTGATGTGTCAGTTAAGGTCTTTGACTCATTGTTTAATTGGGTTATGTTTTCTTACTGTTGAGTTTTAAGAGTTTTTTGTGTATTTTAGAGAACAGTCCTTTAGCACCTATATCTTTTGCAAATATTTCCTCCCAGTCTGTGGCTTGACTTCACTCTCATAACTTTGCATTTTTCAAAGAAGTTTTCTATTTTTATTTATTTATTTTGCAAGAGGGAGAGGGAGAACAAGCAGGGGAAGGGCAGAGAGAGAAGGAGAGAGAGAATCCCAAGCAGAATCCATGCTGTCAGCATAGAGCTCAATGCAGGACTCAAACTCAAGAACCAGGAGATCGTGACCTGAGATTAAACCAAGAGTCAGATGCTTAGCCAACTGAGCTACCCAGGCACCCCAAGAAGTCTTCTGTTTATTAATAAAGTCCAGCTTATCAGTTCTTTCATGGACCATGCCTTCGGTGTTCTGTCTAGTCACTGCCATACTTAAGGTCATCTAGGTTTTTTCTTATATCTCTTTAATTTTGCATTTTACAAATAGGCCTACGATCCACTTTGAGTTAATTCTGTAACAGATGTAAAGTCTGGGTCTAAATTCTTTTTTTGTGTGTGCATACGGACATCCAGTTGTGCCAGCACCATTTACTGAGTACCATCTTTGCTCTACTGTCTTGCTCTTGCTCCTTTGTCAAAGATTAGTCGACTATACAGTAAAATCTTGAATTGTGAGTAACTTGTTCTGCAAACATTCCACATTTCTAATAAATTTTCTAATTTTAACATTTCTAATAAATTTTACCTTGATAAACGAGCGATGTCTTGCAATACAAGTAGTACATGACACCAAACATCACATGATCACAGCTGAGCCAGTGGTTTTTGAAATTTGCTTTGGCAAGTGCTTTGGATTACAAGCATGCTTCTAGAATGAACTATGCTCTCAAACCAAGGTTTTAGTGTATTTATGGGAATCCATTTCTGGGCTCTCTATTCTGTTCTATTTGACTCTTCTATCAGTACCAAACTATCCTGATTATTATAGCCTTATAGTGAGTCATAATGTCAGATAGTGTCAGTCCTCCAACTTCGTGCTCCTTCAGTATGGTATTGGCTACTCTGGGTCTTCTGTCTCTCCATAAAAACTTTGGAATTAGTTTGTCACTATCCACAAAATAGATCCTGGGATTTTGATTGGAATTACATCAAAACTATAGATCAAGCTGGGAAAAGCTGACATCTTGACAATACTGAGTCTTCCCATCCATGAACATGGAATAGCTCTCCATTTCTTTAGTTCTCTTTTGATCTTTCTCATTAGAGTTTTGTAGTTTTCCTCATATAGATACTGTATGTATTTTGTAAGTTTTATACCTAAGTATTTCATTTGGGGAGGTGCTAATGTAAATAGTATTGTTTTCAACTTCAACTTGTTCACTGCAGGCATCTAGGAAAGTGACTGACCTTTTAAAATTAACCCTGTCGTGTAACCTTCCTATAATCACTTATTAGTTACAGATCTTTGTGGAATCTTTTTGATTTTCTACATAGATGATCATGTCATCTGCAAAGGAAGTTTTAGTTATTCCTTCCCAAACAGTATACTTTTTGTTTCCTTTTCTTGTCTTATTGCATTAGCCAGTATTCCCAGTCCAATGTTGAAAAGGGGATATTTTTGCTTTGCTCCTGATCCTAACGGAAAAGCTTCAAGCTTGTTACCACAAAATATAAGGTGAGTTACAGGTTTTTTGGTAAAGATGCTCTGTCAAGTTGAAGAAGTTACCTTCTCTTTCTAGTTTATTGACAATTTTCATCATGAATGGGTGCTATATTTTCTCATATGCTTTTCCTGCATTATATGAGCATGTAACTTTTCTTAGCCTATTGATGTGATGGATTGCATTAACTTTCAAGTGTTGAACTAGCCTTACATACCTGGGATAAATCACACCTGGTGTACAATTCTTTCTATGTTGGATTTTTACATTTGTGTTCATGAGAGATATTTGTAGCTTTCTTGTACTGTCTGGTTTTGGAATTAAAGTAACACTGGTCTCATAGAATAAGTTAGAAACTATTTTATCCTCTGCATTCCTTTGAAAAACACTGTAGAAAATTTATATAATTTATTTCTTAAATGTTTGGTATACTTCACCAGTGAACCCAGGTAGGACAGGTTTTTAATTACTCAAAATAAATCTTCCTCATACTAGAAACACTGTTAACCAAGTGAAAAACAATGATTTAAGATTTATATTTTTGTGACAGAACAAATGGTTATGGTATTTTATAGTTGTATAATCCAGTAAGAAAAAAGAAAAGAGAAAACTCCATCAGAAAAATGGGAAAGAACATCAAAGGGTCATAAAAATGAGAAACACAAATGACTAATAAGCTTAAGAAAAATACCCATTATAAGTAATAAGTAAAAATTAAGACCAGTTAATCTGAGATTTCAGTTATCATTAAGCAACAGCCAGTATAAAATAGGATACATGTAAAAGGCACTCTAATAGAAATTAGCATAACTTTGTCTAAAGATAGATTCTGCAATGCAAATAGAAGACCATAAAAAGGTATATTGTGCTGATTGTTAATCCTAAGGAAAACATTACAACAGTGCAGGGGTGCTGGAGTCACTCAGTCAGTTAAGTAGCTGACTTCAGCTCAGGGCATGAGCTCACCTTTCACAGGTTTGAGCCCTGCATCAGGTTCTGTGCTGACAGCTCAGAGCCTGGAGCCTGCTTTACATTCTCTGTCTCCCTCTCTCTCTGTCCCTCCCCTGATCACGCTCTCTCTCACAAAAATAAATTTAAAAATTAAAAAATAAACAGTGCATATATTTTTATTTAAAAATATTTCTATTATAAAGTGTTCATAAAGACTAGTAGAAGCAACTAAAATAACAATTCCCATAGAGTACAGCCTGGAGCTACAAGACACATAGGATTAAATCTAACCAAAAAACCATACAATATTTTTATGGAAAAATTATAAAGGACATTGAAAAACATTCAAGAAGACTTAAATAGACAATCATGTTGGGAAGATTCAAATCACAAAATATTAGCTCTTCCCATCTTCTAGGCAATTTCTACCAAAATCCAAATAGGGTTTGAATCTAAAATGTATACAGAAGAGCAAATGGCTGAAAACAGAGAAGACACTCCTAGGAAAGGAGAAAACTTATTTCAAAGCTAATACAGTGTGGGATCAGCACACAGGCAAAGGTATCAGCAGGCCAGGGTAACAGGAAAGAGAAGACACATATATGGAAACATATGATAAATGACAGAAACTATGCCTGGGCAATGGCTACTCATATAGAAATAAATGACAATGGGCCCTAATCTATACTACACACAGATGGTAGGACTCAGGATCATAAACTTAATTTCAAACACTAACAAAATAGAGGATTAATAAATTCTATTACACTGAAATTAAGAATTATTGATAATAAAAATTATCATAAGGGAATATAACTATCAAGCCATCTAATAGGAAAGATAATTGCAATATAAATATGAAAAATTCCTACAAAATAATAGAAAAATCTATTTAGCAGATAAATGGGCAAAAGACATAGAAGAAAAAATATGAGTCTCCAATAACATATTTTTAAAAATACATAATTAAGCATGGAGGAGGGCACTTGTGGGGATGAGCACTGGGTATTGTATGGAAACCAACTTGATGGTAAACTACTTAAAAATACATAATTAGACTACTACTAAAAGAAATATAAATTGAAATTGAAAATGTAAACATTTTCCCTTGTTACCAAATCTACCTATTTTTTCTGAAATACGTAAAATATATACATATACAGTGCTATTTAATAAAAATGCTGATTTTGCCAAATAGGAAAATAATCTACTGTATAAAGTTAAATCCCAAGAAAATATTGGGGCGGGGGGGAGGGGGAGACAATTCTCCATGTCACAAAATGATTGGCACCTGGGTGGCTCAGTCAGTTAGGCACCTGACTCTTAATCTGGGCTCAGGTCATGATTTCATGGTTCGTGAGATTAAGCCCTGCATCAGGCCCTGCGCTGATAGCGTGGATCCTGCTTAAGACTCTTGCTCTCCTTCTTTCTCTCTCTGTCCCTCTTCCACTCACATGCACTCTCTCTCCCTTTCAAAATAAAAAAACATTTAAAAAAAAGATTTCCTAATGTAAGTTTTTCTAGGATTCTGTGAAGATTTTCATATTTGGCTTGTGTCATTTTTAAGTTATTAACAAAATTTTTTTTGTTATTTTCTGTTTTCTGTAGAACAGTAAAGAGTTAGAGACAGACAACAGTGAGGATGGAAGGGAATAACTGCTACTTTAGACTGGGCGGCCTTCCCACATCGTTCCTGTGTGAAAGTTGCAAATGGTATCACTCGACACTCCCCTGTCTACCTTTGTGTTTCCTCACAGGACTCATCACTTCGCTACTTGTCTCTCTTGGTGTAGAATAGAAGCTCTGAGAGGTGAGGGAATTTGTTCTGCCCGCTGGTGTGTTTCAGTGCCGAGCTCAGTAACAAGTAAATGTGAAGTCCTCAGTGATGCATTAATGGATGAACCAATTGAGAGAAGTGTCATTATAGCTTTCTACAGTGGGAAGGATGTGTATGCGTGTGTGGTGTGCATCAAATTGTGAATAGTCATACATCACATTTTTAAACAAATCACATTTTTAAATAAATCACGCTTTTAATTACAAAACTTATCATTCATTTTACATTAAAAATCTATGCTTATATTTTTCAAAGACCATTTTACCTCATTAATATCTGCTTCCGTTTTCACTTCTGACTTAAAAACAGTAGTGGCACATAAGTTTGGATTACCAACAAATTCTTCACCATCATTTGCTATCTTTCCAGTGAAAGCAAAGATATTCTTGTGTGTTCTAGAGTAGGAAATAAGAAAAAAAAAGGTTTTTCTAAACTTTTGTATCTTAATATCCAGAACACATAAACAATTAGACAGTTCTCCAAAGAAGATACACAGAAAGTCAATTAAAAAACACACTTAGCATCACTAATCATTAGGGAAATACAAATCAGGGCCAGAATGAGATATAACATCACACCAAACAGGATGGCTACTATTTTCTACAAGAGGAAAATAGTAAGGGTTGGTGAGGACTGGAATCCTGGTGCTTCCTGCTGGGAATCAAAATAGGGCCATTACTGGGGCATCTGGGTGGCTTAGTCGGATAAGCAACCAACTTCGGCTCAGGGCATGATCTTGAGGTCGGTGGGTTTGAGCCCCACATCGGGCTCTGCGCTGATTGCTCAGAGCCTGGAGCGTGCTTTGGGTTCTGTGTCTCCCTCTCTGCTCCTCCCCTGCTCATGCTGTCTCTGTCTCTCAAAAATAAATAAACATTAAAAAAAATAAAATAAAATAGGGCAGTTACTGTGGAAATTACCAGGGAAATTCCCCGAAAAGTTACATGTGGAATTACCATGTGATCCAGCAACTCTACCTCAGGGCATATAAACAGAAGAACTGAAAACATTCGTGATTCAAACAGATATTTACACATCAATGTTTGTAGCAACATCATTCGCAATAGCCAAAAGGTGAAAATGACCCAAATGTCTATGAATTGATGAACAGATAAATAAAATGTAGTATACGCATACAATGGATTGTTATCTAGCCTTAAAAAAGAAATTCTCATACATGCTACAACATGGATGAGGCTTGAAACATTATGCTCAGTGAAACAAGCCAGAAACAATGGAAAAATACTGTATGACTCTGCCAAATGAGGTACCGAGAATAGGGGCAAATTCATAAACAGAAAGTCTCTGCGCTGACAGCATGGAACCTGCGTGGAATTCTCCCCCTCCCTCTCTGCCCTTCCCCTGCTCGTGTGCACGCATGTGTGTGTGCTCTTTCTCTCCCTCCATCTGTCTCTAAAAATAAGCTTTTAAGAAGTGAAGGAGATTTTTATCGAAAAGTAAAGATTTACAAATATAAACTAACAGGGAAATAGAATTTAAATAATTATTATTAGAAAGACGGAGGATTCGTAAACACACCGCAAAGCATAAGAAACACTAAAACAAGGAGGTGAAGGAGGCATTGGGAATTAAGAGCCATTTGACTGAATCAAGAAAAACAGGAAAATAGTGAGAAAAGAGAAAAAAAAGCAAAGTAAAATAAATAACAAGCATAAATAAAATGCGAGGATTAAAAACAAAGCATACAAGTTACTAAATCTAAGTAGGTTCAATTTCCTAATTAAAAGACAGAAACTATCAGACTGAGTTAAAAAGCAACATCAAACCATAATAAGATAAGATCAGTATCTCAATTTAAGGTGAAAAAGGCAGGAAATAAAAACGATTAGGAGTTTATGGCAGCAAGAGAATGGCACAGAACATTTTAAAAAATCTTTCCACATCCCCTCATAAAAATCAGAGAAATAGATAATCTGAATAGGACTACATCTTTAAAGAAATTGAACAAATAATTTGTTAAGTTTTCAAAATAGAATGCCCTAGGCCCAGACAGGCTTCCTTGTGAAGTCTGTCAAAAATATTTAGGGAAGAAATTATACCAATTCATTCTATAGGCCCAGAATTTTCCTGGAACCAAAACCAAAGACATCATAAGAAAACTACAGACTCATATCCTTTATGAATAGAGACACAGAAATGCTTAAGAAAATATTAGCAAACTCAATCTAGATGCCTATACAAAGGATTATATATCATAACTGAGTGGAAACTATCCCAGGAATGCAAGGTTGGTTCAAAATGTACAAAAATGTACATATGCAAGTTGTACAAAAATGCATATATGTAACATAACATAGTATACCATATTAGTAGCATAAAGTAAAGAACACAGGATCAACTGACACAGAAAAACAGCATTTAACAAAATGCAACACTTCATGTAAAAACATTAAACTAACACTATAAGGGAACTTCCTCAACCTGATAAAAAGCACTTGCAAAAAACCTACAGCTAACATACTTAAAGATAAAAAAAAAAAAGAGAGAGACTTAAAGTTTCCCTCTGAGACAAGGAATAAAACAGGAATGTTCACTCTTGCCACTTCTTTTTTTATTTATTTATTTTTTACAAATAGTTTATTGTCAAATTAGTTTCCACATAACACTCAGTGCTCATCCCCACAAGTGTCCTCCTCCATGCCCCCCCCCCCCCCCCCCCCTCTTCCATCAGTCCTCAGTTTTTGTCAGCATTCAAGAGTCTCTCATGATTTGCCTCTCTCCCTTTCCCCCACCATTTCCCCTCTTCTTCTCCCCCTTGTTCCTCCGTCAAGTTCCTCCTAATCCCCCTATACGTGCAAACATATATTTGTCCTTCTCTGCCTGACTTATTTCGCTCAGCATAACACCCTCAAGGTCCATCCATGTTGCTACACATGGCCAGATTTCATTTTTTCTCATTGCCATGTAGTATTCCATGGTATAGATAAACCACATCTTCTTGATCCTCATCTGTTGATGGACACTTAGGCTCTTTCCATGTTTTAGCTATTGTGGAGTCACTCTTGCCACTTTTAATAACACTGTACTGAAAATTCTACCCAGGGCAATCAGACAGCAAAAAGTAATGAAAGATATCAGACTGGGAAAAAAAGAAGTAAAACGATCTCTATTTACAGGTGTTATGATCCTGTACAGAAAATCCTAAGGAGTGAAAACACACACACACACACACACACACACCCCATTAGTACTAATAAATCACTTTGACAAGGTTGCTGGATACAAGATCAATTAGAAAAATCAGCCATATTCAATAAACTAGCAATTAATCCAAAATAAAACTTAAAAATAAATCTGTTTATAATAGCATAAAAAAGAATGAAATACTTCAAAATAAACATAACAAATGAAGTGAGACACATACACTGAAAACTATAAAAGACTACTGAAAGAAATTAGACTACCCATATAAATGGAAAGAGAATCCCACATTCATGGACTGGAAAACTTTATACTGTTAAAATATAAATGCTCCCCACATTTATCTACAGATTCAACACAATCCTCATATAAATTCTAGCTGTTTTGTTTTTAATAAAAATTGGCAATCTTATTCTACAATTCATAGCAAACGCAAGGGACCCAGAATAGTCAAAACAATGTTGAAAAGGAACAATATTATAAAATTCACACTTTCCAATTTCAAAACCTACTACAAAGCAACAGTAGTCAAGACTGTGGCACTGACATAAGGATCGATCTAGAGATCAACTGAACACAATTTAGAGTCCAGATATAAATCCACACGTCTATCATCAACTGATGGTCAAGAGGGCGCCAAATACAAAATGGGTCAAAGATCTAAATGCAGGAGCTAAAATTAAAAATCTTAGAAGAAAACAAAGGTATAATTCTTTGTGACCTTGGATTAGGAAATGATTTCTTATATATGACAGTTAAAGTATAATCAAAGAAAAAATAAATTGGCCTTTTACAAAATTAAGCACTTTTTTATTCCAAAGGATACTATCAAGAAAGTGAAAAGATGATGTATATAGAATGAAAGTTAAGTTTTTGCAAGTAATCTATTATTTGGAAATAATAAGGCTCTTGTATCAAAAATGTATTTAAAAAATTCTTTATAACTTAACAATAAAAAGACGATACAATTTTTTTAATGTTTAATTTTGAGAGAGAGAGAGAGAGAGCATGCGTGGGGGACAGGCAGAGAGCGAGGGAGACACAGAATCCGAAGCAGGCTTCAGGCTCTGAGCTGTCAGCACAGAGCTCGATATAGGGCTCAAACCTGCAAACTGTGAGATCATTCCCTGAGCTGAAGTTAGATGCTTAACTGACTGAGCCACCCAGGGCCCTCAAGACAACACAATTTAAAAATGGACAGGGGCACCTGGGTGGCTCAGTCAGTTAAGCATCTGACTCTTGATTTCAGCTCAGGTCATGATCTCACAGTTTGCGAGTCCAAGCCTCACATCAGGCTCTCCACTGTGAGCACAGAGCCTACTTTGGATCCTCTGTCCCTTCTCTCTGCCCCTCCTCCAAAAGCACTCTCTCAAAAATAAACAAACATTAAAAAATAAAATAAAAATGGAGAAAGGACATGAATAGACACTTTGTCCAAGAAGATACACAAATAGCCAATACTCATAACAAAGGATGCACAATATTAGTCATTATGGAAATACACACCAATACTGTTAAGGAGGTCGATGGAAACAGATTCAGTAATGGTGGCACCACCAGTCTAGCAGGCATTTACTCTAACTATTCTCAAACAACCTTATGATATAGGTATTATTGTTATCTCTAGTTTATAGATGAAGAAACTGAGGTTTAAAGAATGTATACAACCTCTGTTAGCTCACTAGCTAACCTAAGTCACACAATATGTCAGAGGTAAAACAGGGATTAACCAAGGTGGTATGATTCCTAAAATTCATGTACTTGAACCACTACACAAATATTTTTCCTATAATATTACAAAAAAAGTATACAAGGCATGTTGTATTTTTAAAATAAGCTATGAAACAGTACAATGGAAAAAATACATAGAAGAAGTTAGAAGAAATTGTACCAAAACAAGACATTGTATTTAAGTGATGGAACTAGGGTAATTTTTGTTTTCCATATTTTCTATTATATGATGAATTAAATTATATTAAAATATATTAAAACATAAAAATTATGCTCAGGCGCCTGGGTGGCTCAGTTGATTAAGTGTCTGACTTTGGTTCAGGTCATGATCTCACAATTCATGAGTCTGAGCCTCACATTGGGCTGTCTGCTGCCAGCACAGAGCTTGCTTTGGATCCTTTGTCCACCTCCCCTGCTTGTGCTCGATCTCTCTCTCAAAAATAAACATTAAAATAATAATAATAAAATAGATAAGTTCCAAATTAAAAACTTCTCCTAAACACACAAACACGCACATACACTTATACTTGTAGTTTTATGAGAAATAAAATTATAATGTGCTATTACTAAATAATGCTTTTATATGGGTTCAAGTCCTGACACTGACTCAAATCACTTCCATGGCCTTAGACAAATGATTTAATAAGCTCTGATGAATTCCACAATACATCAGAGAAATAATATATTTAAGATTCTTCAAAATTTTATGAATTGATAAAATTTTCACTCTCCAGTTATGATACTAAAACTCTGGTTTGACTTGAAATAATACTGCTAGGTTTTGACAGTATGAACATAAACTATTCTTCAGTCTTAATTCATATTCCATGGTTCACAAAGTACAGCGATAGATTCAGTTACAGAAAACAAGAAAACTGACTTAACAGTAGTATTTAAATAGAAGGTGAAAACATTTTGTTATATTATTGTTAATCTGAATTTCAAATTTTACTGGGCATCATATACTTCAAATGGTAACCTAACCTGTGCAGAATTTGGGAAGGAAGGGAAATTTTCTTAAATTTCATGGACAGCATCAAGGAAGGTATTATCAGATACAAAGTTCAAAAAATTGCAAAAACTGAGCACTTATGATTTACTACAAGGAGAATTTTCAAATTCTAGCTTAAATTATTGGATATCTTTCTGTAAGTTGCAACATATCATATTGTGATCATAAATTCTTTTTACAAGTCAAAAAAGTGTCATTTACTTGATGAGATTTTCATTCTTTTTTTCCCTTGTAAATGGCATTCTAGCAGAATTATTAAATAATTCCAAAAGTAGTGTGACTGCAGTGTTCATCAGCTGACGGACAAGTTCCTGAAATATGTAGTCAACCAGACTCAGAAACCTCAAAATTGTTTCTAATAAACGTCGATATTCAGGCAGCTTGAAATGTGTTGTGTCATCTTCAGAGAGTTTCGACTCAAAGTATTCATCAATTTCTTTCTTTTCTGCCACCTACAATTCAATAAACAATGGAGAAGTGACAGTTTTTGATGTTAATATAGTACGATTTCTAATGTATAGTATTTCCATTAGTCTGAATAACATTGCAACTAAACGTTATTAGGAAGATTTTCAAAAGAAACCTTTATGTTTGCACTGTATATGAAGAGCAGACCTAGAGCGGCCTGTGAAGTTCAGGGTCTCCCTCATAAGCAGACGAGTTTATGGAACACAAACGGGAAGTACATACTGACACTGACCTACGTTTCCTGCACAGAGGGCCCTCCTCAAGGACACGAAGAGCTGCCAATGGGAGAGAGTCGAATCTAAATAAAAAGGGTCCTTGGCAAATGGCAAAAGCACAGTGAGACCCTCCTCCAGGGGATCAGCGTGGGTGTGTGCCAGGTGGGACCTTAGAATGTGGAGTTTTGACACCCAGTCACGTGCCCGAGGTAACGTGCAGGAGCACTGGGCCTCCTGGCAGCTACACAGCTCGGACACAGGGTGAAGGCAGGGATCTGACGGAAGCTGGGGACACAAGAGGGGTGATCGTGTGCTTTTCTGTGAGGGCTTCCTGAAAAGTGGTGGGTGCGAACTCCCCACTCTGGGGACAAGGGTGTGGTGACACCATTTTGCCACTGCCACAAACCCCAGCCCAACAGCACTGATGGACTTCAGCAAGCAGGAGCCACTTACACCAAGCCTCACCCGTGCCCTGCAGGTGTGTCTTTCCTAGGGCAAGTCTGCTAGCTGGGCTTGAGAAAAGGTCTAGAAGACACCAGAGAATCCCTTACTGCAGAGTTAAAAGAACTAACAACCAGTCAGGCCAAAATTAAAAATGCTATAACAGAGACGCAAGCCCAACTTGAATGTAATGCCAATGAGGATGGACATAGCCAAGGGGATGAATTGGTGACATAGAAGGTAAAATTATGGAAAATAATGAAGTTGAAAAGAAGAGGGAAAGAAAGGCACCGGATCACAAATACAGATTTAGGGAAAAAGCATAACAACACGTGAATCATAAAAGTCCCAAAAGAAGGAAGAGAAAAAGAGCCAGAGGGTTTATTTGAGCAAACTATAGCTGAGAACTTCCACAATCCAGGGAATAAAACAGACACTTAAGTCCAAGAAGCACAGAGAACTCCCATCAAATTTAACTAAAGCTGGCCATGGCCAAGATATCATAGTCAAATTCGCAAAACACACAGACAAGGCAAGAATTCTGAAAGCAGCAATGGAAAAAAGCCCTTACGCTACAAGGGAAGACAGATCAGGTTCGCAGCAGACCTATCCACAGACACTTGGCTGGCCAGAAGGGAGTGGCAGGAAATCTTCAATGTGCTGAAGAGGAAAATACGCAGTCAAGAATTCTTTATCCAGCAAGGCTGTCATTCAAAATAGGAGAGATAGTTTCCCAAACAAAACCTAAAGGAGTCTATGACCACTAAATGAGCCCTACAAGAAATATTAAAGGGGGCTCTTTGAGTTGGAAAAAAGACCAAAGGTGACAAAGAGTAGAAAGGAACAGAGAGTATCACCAGAAACACCAACTTTACAGCACTAAATTCATATCTATCAATAATCACTCTGAATGTAAATGGACTAAATGCTCCAATCAAATGACATGGGCATCAGAATGGGTTAAAAAACAAGACCCATCTATATGCTGCTTACAGGAGACTCATTTTAGATCTAAAGATACCTGCAGATAGAAACTGAGGGGATGGAGAACCATCTGTTAGGCTAATGGAAGTCAAAAGAAAGCTGGAGTAGCCATACTTTTATCAGACAAACTAGATTTTAAACCAAAGACTGTAAGAAAGATGGAGAAGGCCATTATATCATAATTAAGAGGTCTATCCATCCAGAAGGTCTAACAATTACAAACATTTATGCCCCAACTTGCAAGCTCCCAAATACATAAGTCAATTAATCACAAGCATAAAGAAACTCATTGATAATAATACCATAATAGTAGGGGACTTCAACACCCCACTTAGGCAATGGGAAGATCATCTAAACAGAAGATCAACAAGGAAACAGTGGCTTTGAATGACACACAGGACTGGATGGCCTTAACGGATATACTCAGAATACTTCCTTCTAAAGCAGCATAATACACATTCTTTTTGAGTGCACTTGGAACATTTTCCAGAGGAGATCAAATACTAGGTCACAAATGAGGCCTCAATGGTACAAAAAGACTGAGATCATACTGTGCATATTTTCACACCACAAACACTATGAAACTTGGAAGTCGACCACAAGAAAAAATGTGAATAGACCACAAATCCTTAAAGGACATCTTAATAAAGGCCGAACTGGTTAACCAAGAAGTTAAAGAACTAAAGTACACAAAAGCAAATGAGTATGAAAACACAACAGTCCAAAACCCTTGGGATACAGCAAAGGCAGTCCTAAGAAGGAAGTACACTGCAATCCAGGCCTTCCTCAGGAAGGAAGAAAGGGGGTGCCTGGGTGGCTCAGTCAGTTAGGCGTCTGATGTTGACTCAGGTCATGATCTCACGGTTTGTGAATTCAAGCCCCGCGTCAGGCTCTGTGCTATTAGCACACGGATCTTCTGTCTCCCTCTCTCTGCCCCTCCCTCGCTTGCTCGCATTCACTTTCTCTCTCTCTCTCTCAAAAAATAAACATTAAAAAAAAAAGAAAGAATACACAACCTAACCTTACACCTCGAAGGAGCTAGAAAAAGGACAAATAAAGCCTGAGGCCAGCAGAAGAAGGGAAATAATAAAGACAAGCAGAAATAAATGATGTAGAAACAAACAAACAAAAAAACAGATCAACAAAACTAAGAGCTGATTCTTCAAAAGAATTAATAAAATTGATAAATCTCCAGCCATATTTATCAAAAAGAAAAGAGAAAGGACCCAAATAATACAACAAATGAAAGAGGACAGATCACAACCAACACCACAGAAATATAAACAATTAGAAGAGAATATTATTAAAATTTACATGCCAACAGGGGGTGCCTGGATGGCTCAGTCGGTTAAGCATTACACTAGATTTCAGCTCATGCCATGATCTCACGGTTTGTGAGTTCAAGCCCCACATATGTTCAGCTCTGTGCTGACAGCACAGGGTCTGCTTGGAAATCTCTGTCCCTACCCAACTTGTGCTTTCTCTCTCTCAAAAGAATAGGAAACTTAAAAAAGTTTTAAAAATATATATGCCAACAAACTGGGCAATCTGGAAGAAAAGGGAAAATTCCTAGAAACAAACTACCAAAAATGAAACAGGAAGAAATAGAAAATTTGAACAGACCCATAATAAGCAAAGAAATTGAATTAATAATCAAAAATCTCCCAACAAACAAGAGTCCAGGGCCAGATGGCTTCTCAGGGGAATTCTACCAGATATTTAAAGAAGAGTTAATACTCATTCTTCTCGAACTGTTCCAAAAAACAGAAATGCAAGGAAAACTTCCAAACTCATTTTACAAGGCCAACATTGCCTTGATTCCAAAAACAAAGACCCCACTAAAAAGGAGAATGAACAGATGAATATCCCTGATGAACATGGATGCAGAAATTCTCAACAAGATACTAGCAAATCTAATTCGACAGTATATTAAAATTATTATTCATCATGATCAAGTGGGATTCATTCCTGGGCTACAGGGTTGGTTCAATGTTTGCATATCAGTCAACCTGATATACCACATTAATAAAAGAGATAAGAACCTTACAATCCTCTCAATAGATGCAGAAAAACATTTGACAAAATACAGCATCTTTTGTTGATAAAAACTCTCAACAAAGTAGGTATAGATGATGGAACACACCTCAACATCATAAAGGTCATAGATGGAAGACCCACAGCTATTATCATCCTCAACGGAGGAAACAGAGCTTTTCCTCTACTGTGAAGAATACGACAGTGACGCCCACTATCACCATTACTATTAACATAGTACTGGAATTCTCAGCCTCAGAAATCAGACAACAAAAGAAATAAAAGGCTTCCAAATCATCAAGTAGGAAGTCAAACTTTCACTATTTGCAGACAACATGATACTCTACGTAGAAAACTTGAAGGACTCCATGAAAAAATTGCTAGAATACATGAATTCAGCCAAGTTGCAGGATACAAACTCAATGTTCAGCAATCTGTTGCACTTCTACACACCAGTCATGAAGCAGCAGAGAAATTCAGAAAACAGTCCCATTGACAATTGCACCAAAACCCACAAAATACCCAGGAATAAACCTAACTAAAGAGGTAAAAGATCTGTACCCTGAAAACTACAGAACACTTATGAAAGAAATTGAAGAGGTCACAAAAAAATGGTAAAACATTCCATGTTCATGGATTGGAAGAATAAACATTGTTAAAATGTCTGTACTACCCAAACCAATCTTTACCTTTAATGCAATCACTATCACAATACCACAGCATTGTTCACAGAGCTAGAACAATCTGAAAACTTGTATGGAACCAGAAAAGACCCCAAATGGCCAGAGTAATGTTGAAAAGAAAACCAGAGCAGGAGGCATCACAAACCCAGACTTTGAGCTGTATTACAAAGCTGTGATCACCAAGACAGTATGGTACTGTCACAAAAGCAGATGCATAGATCAACGGAACGGTACAGAAAACCCAGAAATAAACCCACAACTACATGGTCAACTAATCTTCAACAAAGCAGGAAATAATATCCAGTGTTTTACAGTCTCTTCAACAAATGGTGCTGGGAAAACTGGATGGTGACATGCATTAGAATGAACCTGGACCACTTTCTTACACCATACACAAAAATAAACTCAAAATGGATGAAAGACCTAAATGTGAGATGTAAGGCAGGAAACCATCAAAACCCTAGAGGAGAACACAGGCAGCAATCTCTCTGATCTTGGCTGTAGCAACTTTTTTCTTTAGAGAGAGAAAGAGAGCATGCAGGAGTGAGTGGGGGAAGGGAGGGAGGGCAGGGGAGAGTGGGGGGGGAGAGAGAGAAAGAGAGAGAGAGAATCTTAAGCAGGCTCCACACTGAGCGCAAAGCCCAATGCAGGGCTCAATCCTGTGACCCTGGGATCACGACCTGAGTCAAAATCAAGAATCAGATGCTTGAACAACTGAGCCACCCAGGCACCCTGAGCAACCTGTTACTAGACTCATTTCTGGAGGCAAGAAAACCAAAGCAGAAATGGACTACTGAGACTTCATCAAGATAAACAGCTTCTGCACAGCAAAGAAAACAACAAAACTAAAAGACAACCTATGGAATTGGTGAAGATATTTGCAAATGACATATTGGATAAAGAGTTAGTACCCTAACTCTATAAAGACCTTCTCAAACTCAATACCCAAAAATAAATAATCCAGTCCAGAAATGCACAGAAGACATGAACAGACATTTCTCCAAAGAAGACATCCAGATGGCTGACACATGAAATGATGCTCAACATCACTCATAATCAGGGAAATACAAACCCACACTGAAATACCACCTCACACCTGTCCGTACTGCTAAAATCAACAACACAAGAAACAACAGGTGTTGGCGAGAATGTGGAGAAAGGGGGACCCTCTGCACTGCTGGTGGGAATGCAAACTGGTGCAGCCACTGTGGGAAACAGTGTGGAGGTTCCTCAGAAGTTAAAAATAGAACTACCCTACAACCAATCAATTGCACTACCAGGTATTTACCCAAAGGATACAAAAATTATCTACAGCAGCCAAACTATGGAAAGAGCCCAATGTCCAGTAACTGATGAATGGATAAAGATGTGGTATATGTATATAATGGAATATTACTCAGCCATCAAAAAGAATGAGATCTTGCCATTTGCAATGATGTGGATAGAGCTAGAGTGTATTATGCCAAGCAGAGTAAGCCAGTCAGAGAAAGACAATCATATGATCTCACTCATTTGTGGAATTTAAGAAACAAAACAGATGGGGGCGCCTGGGTGGCTCAGTTGTTTAAGCGTCTGACTTTGGCTCACGTCAGGATCTCACAGTTCATGGTTTGGGCCCCATATTGGGTTCTGTGCTGACAGCTCAGAGCCTGGAGCCTGCTTGGGATTCTGTGTCTCCCTCTCTCTCTGACCCTCTCCCACTCACGTTCTGTCTCTCTCTCTCTCAAATATAAATAATAAACATTAAAATAAACTTTAAAAAAGCAGATGAACACAGGAGAAGAAAGAATGGGGGGGCAAACCATAAGAGACTTAACCACAGAGAACAAACAGGGTGGGTGGAGAGAGGTGGGGGGGATGGGCATTAAGGAGGGCACTGGTGTGATGAGCGCTGGTGTTGTATGTAAGGAGGAATCACTACATTCTACACCTGCAACCAATTTTTAACACATGTTAACTAACTAGAATTAAATAAAAACTTGAAATTAAAAAAAATTTTTAACTTCATTTATAAGTTACATAAACCAAACCAACTAGTTTCCGCAGGGACGCCTCCACGCATCGTCACTCCCTGGCCGGGAAGGCACTGTAAAATAACCCTGTCCAGTGAGTCACAGCATCTCAGGGAAGAGTGTTCTGAGGCCTTTATTACGGAGTCCTTTTCATAAAGTCCTCAGTGAAGTTTTGTCCCATGTGGTTATGCTTCCCCTTGAGCAGGGAGTTTTCGTCTTATAAACACTGAACCTTGTAACAAACTGTATTTCCCTGTACAGCTCAGCTCGGGTTAGATTTTAAGTGTCTTCAAGGTAAACATCCATATGTGTGCATTTTCTCACACACACACACACACACACACACTTGCAGAGGCTTCCCCCACTATCCAAAGGTACAGGTGCTATGAAACCTTCCACAAGCAACACAGCACAAAGAAAGCAGCAGCAGTTACCATGAATTTAGACAAATGTTTTGAGTGTTCCCACACCCCAAAAATAACCTGCCAGGCTCTTCTGATACCGTAGGCACATCTTGCTGACGTCTGCACAAAACTAACTGATGCTCAAGAGATGCTGCCTGCACCCGTGCCTTGGGGGTGCCGCAGGGATGCCTCATGGGGTTAGCACGTGGGGGGTGCAGTGGGGGTGCCGCGGGTGCCAAAGGGGGTGCCGTGTGTGGGGTGTTGCAACGGGGATGCGGCATGGGGATAACACGTGGGGGGTGTGGCGGGGGGTGCCGCAGGAGGTCTGGGGAAGGAGCTGGGCAGGTTCTTTGTGCTTCTTGCCTTTTTTCATAAAAGCAACATCGTCTCTGGATTTCAGTGAACAAACCATCTATGAACACGCACCTGCTGTAAAGCCAAATGGGATAAACAAACTGTCATGCAGCGGGGGCTCCTGCACCGTGCACACCTGCGCCCACATGGCCCTTGGAAAGGGTCCTGCGCCGCCACCATGCAGCAGAAGCTGCGAGGCTAAGGGGCCACCTCTGTCCCTCCACCGCCCATCTACAGGGTTGCAGCTGGGAGCCACTGCCTTAGGCAATACATCACACATTGGTAGAGAAGATAGAATTAAAGAATTACCTTCAAAAATGTACTTTTCATTTTGCAAATAGCCTTCTCTCTCAAATCCTCAAGCTGTCTCACTGCCCGGGTAGCCTGCTGGGACTGCTCTTCACAAAACTCGTCTAGAGAATATGTTCGAGAACTATCCAGCTACTCACACAAGACAGGAGACGTTGAATGTTGGAGTCAAAGTTCAATTAAAAAAAAAAAAAGACATGAAATATTCTGGCCACCTTCTCATGTCCTAAAGAGTATATTTTATACTTTCCTTCATATATGTCACGCTTTATATGCCAGATGCTTTCCACATTCTTAGAATCCACACACAATTAAACTACACCTTTTTCTAATTTTTTTTTAATGTTTTACTTATTTCTGAGAGAGAGAGAGAGAGAGAGAGAGAGAGCAGGGGAGGGTGAGAGACAGGGAGACACAGAATCTGAAGACAGGCTCCAAACTCAGCTGTCAGCACAAAGCCCGACGCGGGGCTCAAACCCACGAACCGCGAGATCATGACCTGAGCCGAAGTCGGACGCTCAACTGCCTGAGCCAGCTAGGTGCCCCAAACTATATCTTAATAAAACACAGAAAAATACATTATCATCTTAATTGTAACGAAAATTAAGCCTAAGCAGAACTGAGGAGTTGAGGTATATCGAAGTATCTGTGAGCTGAGGAGAACCACCAAACCCAGGAATTGCTTTTACCTCTGAAATCTCAGTTACGTGTAACATTTACAGATATGAGCACTAAATGTCAGATAAAGAGGCTAAAATTAAATCATCCAAACGAGGTGAAGTTTAAGCTGCACTACGCGGAATGCAGCACGGGGGAATCCCATCGGCTGCGCTCCTGAGCCCACAGCACACAAACAGCTCGCCCACTCCTCTGTGTCCTTCCTCTCTCCAGTACTTTCCTGTATTTCCCATGTTGTGTTAATTCTCTCACCAAAATGCATTTTCATCAACAAATACGCAGATGCCTTTATCCCTAGTTATAATATTTGTACGTGAGTCTTCCCAATAAAAAATGTGAAAAGTGCTGCTTAAGCCTTACAATCTTGGATTAGCTCCGTGTTCCCCCTCTCCTGGTTACAATTCTGCATTAATCCGTGGTCTCTCTCTCCTGGTCCTGTATCTGGTTACCAGGTCCGGATCTTTCCAGTAAAGTGTCTCTCAGAGTGCCCCTTCCTGAGCTCACTGCCAACCACTAAGTCACTCTTGCTCACACCTGCGTTACCCCAGCGCTCTAACCATCTCTTTATAACTCCTTGCTTTCTGTTTCCCTGATCAACTAACATCACATTAATCTTCCTAAAGTTACATGTTTATAAACTTTCAGTAATTAAGAATAATTCTCAAAGTTTACTCTTTGAGAAGAAGAACTGTGTAGGCAGCCTGTGAAACGTGTAGATTATGAGGCCGCCCACTCCCCTGTCCCCCGAGTGGGGCACATCCACATTTTCATTATGTATTTAAGGTACTGCACCCCCAAAACACAATTATTCTTGAACCCAAATTCGCAACTCTCCAACTGGTTCTGCGGCTTTGGATGAACCGGTCTCCCTAGGTCTGATGAACACAGTCACGGAGGCCCTTTCCCGTCCTGTTGTGGGTGCTCTGGGGGCGGGGGGGGGGGGAAGGGAGCTGCAGTACGGACCCATCCACGAGGGCATACGCACACCCACTCCGAGGCCCTGCAGCGCGCACCCGTGGTGGGGGGGGGGCACGCGCACACCTACTCCGGGGCCCCCTCCTTGGTACCCACACCCCAGCGGTCCTCAGGCACACGCGGGCCGCCTTCTGACTCCTCACCCCCGTCTCAGTTGTCCTGGCTACTAATCACTGCCATTCCTCCCTCTGTGCAAACTCCTGTTCTGGGAACTTTCCCCACCCCCCCTCCAGGGGCACCCCCACCCTCACGGCAGGTTCGGCTCCTGCTTTAGTCAGCTATTCTTGGCTCAACATTCGAGACCAACCTAACTTTCAAATCTAACATAGACTGAGTGATTTACTCACACTCACATTCCCCCCTGCTCCCCAGCTCCTGGAATCCAGCTCATCATGTCCTCCTTTCCTGAAACACACCCTGACTTTACCCGCAAAGGCTGATCTCTGCTTCCCCTGAATTTCTGGGGGCACTAGTATTTCACAAGCACCATTTGCTGATAAACCCTCCTTGCCTTCTGTTTGCTAACCGGCTGGCCAGAATGATTAGCAGACCTGAGGGAAGACCTCTGGAATTAGCCATCACTTTTCTATGCAAAGGATGATCTCTTCCAATAAACTGTAAGCAAAGGAAAATTAACAATACCTCAGTTTTAGTTTTATCCACCTCTCTGCATATAATAGGTAACTGACAAATATTTACAGGACTCCAGGTCTCCAAGAAAGAGCCTAGCGTCCCTCCTGTCACTCCATGAGCATTGCCATCCATGAGGCACGGCTTTCCCAGACATTCTATAGTCTCCTTTGCCTTGCTGCCCATCATTAACTGATGAATTCCATCACTCAGTCACTCATAAAACAATCTAATATGGCTGTCCAGCCAATTTCCTTCTAGAATGAAACCAAGAAAAGGACTCTTCAATGAAATGTCTCCTACTTAACTTGAATTTAATCCTTTTGAAACATTAATCTCAATACAACTATAAAAATACTTTATTTGTAATGACTAATTCATCTTCTTCATTAATTCATTTATTCAAAGACTATTTATTAAGGATCTATGTATCAGTCACTATATATAATCAATTCTAAAAATAAGCTGATTTATAGGTATTAACCTTATTACATGTGTATAGTCAACACAATTTTTGATTTGATTATCAAATTTGAGTTGATTTATCAAATCCTTTTACTATTTTTAAGTCTAGATGACGATCAATCTTACTTTTCAGTATCTCCTTCACACAGCAGGTAAATGTAGTAAAAGCTGCTGGAATCCTGTTCAATTGTATATTAAACACTTAAAACATATACTTCTATATACTTAACCTCTGTGAAAGAACTATTCTAGGGGCCCCTGGGTGGCTCAGTTGTTTAAGTGTCCAACTTTGGCTCAGGCATGATCTCACGGTTTGGTTTGTGAGTTTGAGCCCCACATGGGGCTCTGCACTGGCAGATCCTCTCTCCCTCTCTCTCTTTCTGCCCCTACCCCGCTTGCTCACTCTCTCTCAAAATAAGTAAATACACTTAAAATTTTTTTTAAATAAGGAGTGTCAATTATTAATATTGACTATCCACGGGAATAATGCTCACTGCATGATCACGCAACATTAGTCACCTGTAGTGATGGTTTACTTACGGATCTAGAGAGTAGGTATTTGATTCAAACTTCCATTTGTTCTTCCTGGTTCACACACACAGTGGCTTATATTAGTGCGCGTCTACTCACGTTTATAAGGCAGATGGCAGATGCATTATCTTCATGTTCTTTACTGTTTTTGTAGTCAACTGCATCTTCACAAAGTCCCTTTATATAAAGCAGACAGCCTTGAAATAGCTCATCAGCCCAAAAAAGATTGTGGTGCAAAAATGACCTGAAAGTAAACAATTTCCAGACTTATCTATCTCCTGTTCAACCTGAATATAATTCATTTAGAGGTAACTGTATAATTTGTTTTGTATACATACACATCATATTTTCAATGGCACTAATAAACATTAGTAGCATGAAGGGGTTTGTCTGGCTGATAATGTTGAAAGCAAGGTTTTGGTACTGGGTGTGTTAAGTAAAAACAAAATACGTAGGCACACAAGTGATGGTAGTATTTTATGCCACTGAGTTCTAACAATTCTGAAATAGAAGGCAGTGATGTCCAAAAGAGTTAGATTTCCCCTATTAAATTTAAATACTTTTCCTTAATTTATTTTTTCCTCAATTACAGGAAAAATTAATGAGACTAGGGAACCATTTGGAGATTGTTGCTTAAATTCTCCAACCACCTATATCCTAAAGTAGAAAAGCCAGGCCTTTTTCTTTCCTCTGCCTCTTTCTGCTGGTCTGATCATGGTCACAAAGTGAGTCAGATCACTTCTAACCACACACGACAGAACCAAAGGAGAAAGGGACAAAATGGGAGAGAAAGGATCCTTAAAGAGCAAACTTCCCTGTGCAACCGTGTATCAGAAAAGGCGGGTCCTGTGCTCTTCAGTGATCCCTTGTGGGGTGGCTAATTTTTGTGGCTTTTTGTATTAGCCTTTTCCTGTCTTTCCATGTTATTGGCAAAAGCTTTCTGTGCCATGAAGAAGGTCCTGGGCCTTATATGGTCACTGCCTCCTCAAGGCCCTGTGGCCTCCGTCGTAAAGAAGCTCCACAAATGACAGGCCTCACATGACCTGGAGCTACTCATGAAGGTGGGATCAGTTCACCGACACCCCCTGGGAATCTAGCATAGGGAGGAAAAGAAATCATACAAAAGACAAACTGCACATTCCAGAAGGTGCACCGCCCCAGAAATCAAACCCAATCTTGTGCCGTATTCACAGGAGAATGATGGTCCAAGTCCACACAGTCATGAATTCACATGACTCAGCATTGTTTAAAGCTTTCTTTTTTCCTTTAAAAAATATAATTGACTGTATTTGCGTATTGTAACACAGGTCTGAGGAAACTAGGGAGGGTTCACTGTGAAAACAATTACAGGTAGGGGAAGCATGGCGAAGTTCAGAGCTGTCACGGTGAGCCTGCGCCATCTACAGTGAGCTCGCTCCATCTGATGACCATCCAGGCACAGGTGTCATGGGGACCTCTACCCCCTAACACATCTGCGTTGTACACTCTGTACTAGGAAGCCAAACACATTCTCCCAAACTCACTCACAAGACTGAACTGCTTGGTACTAGAAAATATATCACAGAAATCTATGAAAACTCAGGTCCTGGCTCCTATAAAAATGGAGTAAGTGTACTTTTCATTATTCTTCCCTCTAAGTACAACTAAAAACTCTGAACATTATATATGAAGCAAACATCAGAAGACACTGAGAGGCAGAGCGGACTGACTGGCCAGGAGTGACAGGGTGGTAAGGTGCGTCTTCTGCCTTCTACAGCCCAGGCTTGGAAACACCATCGGGTGCGGACAGAAATGCCCACTGTCCAGCTCGAGGACCAGGAAAGGGACAGCTGAGCACGACAGAAAGCTTTTCAGCAATGACCCTTCCATCCCAGCGAGAAACCACAGGGTAAAGGGCCACGCGGACAGTCCGGCGGCACACGCATGGCCAGTGGTAGTGAGCTTCCCCAGCAGTCCTCTGGGGGGTTCCGGGGAACGCCGAGCAGGGAACAGGGAAGTTCAGCCTCCCCGGGTGGTGGCGAGCAGAGAAAAGGAAAGTCCAATAGAGAAACAGAAGACCTGTAATTTAGAAGTTAAAAAACACAATGACTGAAATGAAAAACAGCGTGTTGGCTCAACAGCAGAACGGAGTGGACAGGGAAACAAACCAGTGAACTGGAAGCAGAAGAACAACAGAAAGTATTCAGTCTGAACAACAGAGAAAAACCCGACTGAAGAATAAACAGACCCTCGGGGACCAGCAGGACCATAGGAAAGATCTAGCACCTGTGTCCCTAGTTCTAGAAGGAGATTAAGGCGAGGGCAGGGCTGAAAAAAATACTTGAAGAAACAAGGATGAAAATTTACCAAGTCTGTCAACATTGCACGAATGCAGAGGTTTAGAAGCCAAGGTAACGACACCAGGATAAAGACAGAGAAGTCCATCCACCCACGACCCATCAGAGTCAAAATTCTGAAAACTAAGGGCAAAAGAAAAAGTCTTGAAAGCAGCAAAAGAAGAAAACATCTGTAGAAGAAAAGCAATTCGAACGGCCGCAGAGGCCGGGAGAAGTGTCCCTCAGATCCCATATTCAGCAGAATGTTCTCTAATGACAGAGAAATGAAGACGCTCTCAGGAATGGGAGACACAGGACACTCTGCTGCCCGCACATCTGCCCTAACAGAATGGCCGTCGGAAGTTCTTGCAACAGAAACACGCAGTCAAAGACGGAGCCACTCCGTGAAGGAAGCAAGAGCATGACACACAAACCAAACTGAATACATTTAAAAAACTCCTGAGTTTTACAATGTATGTTTGGAAACAAAACCCGTAACTCTTCTCTGTGGCATTGGATGCACGTGGAGGAACGACTGTAAATGGGGGGGGGTGGGGGGGGGGGGGGGGGGGGCAGAGGGATATAAAGGTAACGTTTCTACAGTTCACTTTGAAACTAAGAAAATGATGCCAGTAAAGTGCATGTTATGTATACATAATGTTACACCAACAGCAATCACCAAACAGCTACACAAAGAGATACATTAAAAAAGACTACAGAAAAACCCAAACACAATTCTAAGAAATACTGCCTTCTTTGAATATTCAAATAATCCACAGGAAGAAACAGACAAAAAACAGAGGGAAGAAACAAAAAAAAATTAGCAAACCTAAAACCTAACAAATAATTAGACTGAATGTAAATGGTCTAAACACAGCAATTAAAGACTGACTGGCAGATGAATCTAAAAACACGATCGAACAGGGCGCCTGGGTGGCTTAGTCGGTTAAGCGTCCGACTTTCGCTTAGGTCATGATCTCGTGGTTTGTGGGTTCGAGCCCCGCGTCGGGCTCTGTGCTGACTGCCAGCTCAGAGCCTGAAGCCTGTTTCAGTCTGTGACTCTCTCTCTCTCTCTGACCCTCCCCTGTTCACACTGTCTCTCTCTCTCTCCTAGAAATAAATAAAACATTAAAAAAAAATTTAAAAACACGATCGAACTATATGCTGTCTCCCAGAAATGAACGGCCATCAACAACCCCTTCTTCCCATCCCTCATCCACACCCCTCGCTCTAACCACCCCTGCAGCAAAGGCTGTCCCTCGAACAGAGAAGCAGCTGAGTGAGAGGCCAGCTCTCTGCATCAAAGCCACCCAGACCAGTAAAGCAGTGAGGCCAGAGGGTTACATGAAGCTGTTCAAAAAGCAGGTTAACTCTAGCCAAATGGCTGGCATGTACAGGTGCTAAATATTCTTGATTTAAAAAGAGAACAAGCCAAATCTGGGAGAAAATGTTTCAAAGCATACATCTGACAAAGGACTCGTATCTAGAGAATAACCCTTAAAACTCAACAGTATAAAGACGAACAATCCAATTAGAAAATGTGCAACAGACACGGAGAGACATCTCACCAAAGATTCACAGATGGCCAGTACACACATGTAGAGACGCTCAACATCATTAGTCATCAGGGAGATGCAAACTAACACCGTAACGTGCTACTACCACAAACCTACCAGAATGTCTAAAATAAAAGAACATTGCCAATTCCAAATGGCGGCACAGAAGTGGAGAAGCTGAATCACTCCTACATTGCTGCTGGGGATGAAAAATTAAAAAACAAGACAAAACTAAACATGGAATCACCACATGACCCAGGACTGCACTCCTGGGCCTCTACCCCAGGGAAATGAAAATTTGTGTTCCCATAAAAACCTACATATGAAGGTTCAGAGTGGCGTTATCTGTAACAAACGAAACTGGAGACCAGCAGGTGCACCTCACACTCCCAGCACGCGCTGCTCCCCAGCACTCCAGGATCGCCTGGTCAATGGGGCGGCCCGGACGGAGCTCCAGAGCTGCGCTCAGGGAAGAGTCAATCCCACGGGTCGTAGACCACACGACTCCAGTTACACGATGTTCCCAAAAAGACAAACTCACAGAAATGGAGCCCTGAGTAGCGCTTGCCACGGGCTAAGGAGAGGGTGGGACTGGGAGGGACGTGAGCATGGCTGTACGAGAGCAACACAAGGGACCCTGCGGGGACAAATCTGTACCCCGATCACGTCAGTGCCTCTGTCCTTGCTGGCGTGCGGTGTGCGAAGTTTGGGGCTTCTCCCTCTGGGGGAACAGGAGGCCTCTCGGCACCATCTCCAACCACAGTGACCCAGTGCACAGTTCAACCACCGCAACAGCACGGGGCCGCCAGAGACCCCGTAAAACAGGATTAACGGCCATCGGACTCCTATGACCTAGTCGCTCCCCTTTGTGGAAGCAAAAAGTTCAACCAAGTAACTAAGGGAAGTCACCGCAAGCTCTTCACAGGACTGTCCTTTCCTCATGTCGTGGACGGACATACTGGGAAATGTCGTGTTTATTATGTTTTACATATAAATCATGTTTGAAAATAAGAGTGGATAAATTTAATCATAATCACAATGTGACTTTCCAATCACTGAGTGAAATATGACTTATACCTGCTTCCACACTACATATTTAGAATAAGGTTTCCCCTTAACATTGTTAAAAAATACATTTCCTATTAAAACTCACCTGCTCTTCTCGGTCTTAATTCTTCTAACATTCAATTTCCAAGTAACAAATGCTTTATTAATTCTGAAAGAAAAATATTTCTTACATTCTGTATTCATAAATCACGTATTTATATGGAATATGTTTAGTAACGTCTTAAAGAATACTAGATTTCCTACAACATGTTGCATTCATCATAAACTTTAAAAACCAGATATCACTTCTCTCTCAAACTATCAACACAACATAGAGAAAAGTAAATGTTATCAAAACTCATTATAATATCATAGACACATAGTTTAGTTACATCCCTATTAATAGAAAAACTATAAAAATATATTCTTTTCCCTTAAACCTTTACTCGCTTACTATTTTTAAAAGAGATTCTATTTCGAGAAGAATCAAGACTCAATTTTCAGTGATAATGAAAAGGAACACTGATAAGAAATCACAGTATACTCATAAATTAAAAATTAAGATAGTGTACGTCATATTGATATTTAATATTTATGGTTTTGAAAAAATGCATTTGTATTTTAAAAACTCAAAGAACCTGTCTGAGAAGGAAGGTAACGTTGACACTTGGTGACACTTTCAAGGTGCTACTTGTTGCCAAAGCAAGATTCCTTACGCAGCAGGCGAGAGCGGATAGGAGAGGAAGACGGCAGGTCAGGACCACTCGAGGGGCCACCCGAGTCCAGCCCATCGTCCCGGCTGATTTGAACCACAGAAGACTGAGGAACCCCAGGGCAGAGCAAGTAGTTCACAAAGCACCCCTGACGTCATGCAGACAGGCACCCCCTGGCCTGAGAGATCAGAAGTGCCTCAGATCCTGACGCACATCAGGCTCCCAAGAGCCATTCACTTCCATCTGGGCACAGACCCTCAGGACTCCAGTAGACTAACCCAGACGAAATCACCCCAGTGACAGTGTGAGGAGTGTCCGCACCAGGCCACAGCAGCGAGTCCTCCAGGAAGGCCCACGAGGTAGAAAGCAGGCCCTGCAGCACCCTGCACTGGACCCGCATCACCTCCATAAGCTGCCAACCCCCCTGCACTGGGCCCACATTGCCTCTGTAAGCTGGGCCCCCCTCACCCCCTGCCCTGGGCCCACATCACCTCCGTAAGCCATCTCTACTTCTGGATACACACCGACCTTGATCCTGCCTCCCAACCTCTGACCTTGCTATGGTCTCCGGCTGAAACTATTCCCTCGAGACCCCATGTGGATGACGTGCCCTTTTCATTGCAGAGGCCTCTGCTTAAAGAGCACCTCTCGGGCCGGCCTACTTAAAGGAGCAACCTCACATCTCTGTTTCTCTGCTGCATTGTCTTTCTAGCCCCTATCACCAGCTGAAATGACCTTATTTGTTTACTTATTATCTACCTCCCTCCATCAGAATGGAAGCTCTACAGGAAAACACATCTTGTATATTTTTTACGTTATGACACCTCCAATGCCCAGAACAAGGGAGCAAAAAGTACACGATAAACATCTGTTTGTGGGCCGCCTGGGGGGCTCAGTCGGTTAAGCGTCTGACTTTGGCTCAGGTCATGATCTCGCGGTTTGTGGGTTTGAGCCCCACATCGGTTCTATGCCGGCAGCTCAGAGCCTGGAACCTGCTTCAGATTCTGTGTCTCCCTCTCTCTCTGTCCCTTTCCCACTCATGCTCTGTCTCTTTCTGTCTCAAAAATAAACTATATTAAAAATTTTTTAAAAAAATACATGTTTGTGAGTAATGTCTCTGCTACAAGATCTACTCACCTTTCGCATAGAAACAAACTTCCTCAGGCTTAGTTATTCCAGCTATTTAATATCAAATGTAACCATTTAAGGTATTGCTTATCTCTTCCCCCAGTCTCCAGCAGGTAGCAGCAGACCACAAGGAAAGACAGACATTAGAAACAAAAGAATTACTGTAATAGCGCGCGGCCTTTCCCGCAGGTGCGCACAGCACAAGGTACAGATGCCTGAAACTAATGTAACATCAGGTGTCAACTAAACACAAAGAAAACAAAACAGAAGGAAGAAAAAAAAAACAGGTACAAATGCTAGAAGAACAAATTTGGGACCACTGTTGAAGGATCGGACTCGTAGACATCTTGGTGTCTGGTTCCGTCCTGTCACTCAGAACTACATAAACTACTAAGTGATCACCTCGAATCAGCAAGCCGCCCCCGCTCCCTAATGCTGATCTATTTTCCTGTGTAACATTCCTCCTCCACCTGATATTTTACATACTTATGGGTTTTTTTCATTTCTCACCCACCAGAAGACACTTAAGAGCAAGACAATTGTTTTGTCAACAGAGAAATCTCCAGCATCCAGAAGAATGCGTGGTTCTTGCAAACTCTCAATAAATATTCATTTAATGAATAAATGCATGAAAAACAAATGGTAAACTAAGGTCATTACAGTCAATTTAAATTAGACGACAAAAAATCTTTTCCTTACAGTATTTATCCAAAAAGACAGGAGTTTTAATACCTGAGTCAACTTCCTTTATCTAAAAATACCGTACCCAAGTATAATTGATATGCATGTTATATGAGTTTCAGGTGTACAATGCGGTAGTTTGACACTGTACATACACCCTGTGAACTGACGCCTACAACACACGTACTTACCACCGGGGACCCTGCGGTGGATATGTCATTACTGACCGCACCCCATATACTGTATATCCCATCATGCTATCTAGGTCACAACTGCAAGTCTGTACCTCCTCTCCTCGCTCATTTCCTCCCCTCCCCACCTCTCCCCTCTGACAAGACACAACTCTGTACTCTGTATCTAGCAGTCTCGGCTTGGTTTGGTTTTTTAGGTTCCACATATATGTGAAATACGTGGTAAATTTCCTTCTGTCTTACTTCCCTTAGCAGAATACCTTTAGGGTCCCATCCATGTTGACGCAAATGGTAAGCTTTTTTTTTTTTTTTTTTTTTATGACTGAGGACTGTTCCCTTGTATACAGGCACTGCCTCTTCTCTATCCACTCATCTATCCATGAATACTCTGGTTGTTTCCATGTCTTAGCCATTACAGACAGTGCCGCAGTAAACAAAGGAGTGTGCTTATCTTCTCAAAGTAGTCTTTTTGTTTTCTCAGGACGCCTGGAAGTGGAACTGTGGGGTTGTTTGGTAGTCCTGATTTTAACTGTTTCAGGAACCTCCATCTTGTTTTAAACAGTGGCCACACACACACCCATTTACATTCCCACAAGCAGTGAGTGAGGGCCCTTTCCTCCACATCCCCATCAATTCTAGTGATTTCTTTTTTTAATAATAGTCGTCCTGACCTGTAGCAGGTAATATCTTATTGTGGTTTCGACCTGCGTTTCCCTGAGGATTGGTGATGTTAAGCATCTTTTCACATGTCTGTTGGCCACCTGTATGCAGGTCCTGGAAAAATCTCTCTTCAGATCTTCTGCCCATTTAGTAATTGAATTATTTTTGTCATTGAGTTTGTCATTCATTGAGTATGAATTCCTTATTATTATTATTTTTTGGATATTCACTCCTTATTATATGTATGATTTACAAACATCTTATCCCGGTCAGTAGTTGGCCTTTTCATTCTATTCACGGCTTCCTTTGCCGTTCAGGTGCTTTTCAGTTGGATGCTGTCCTGTTTGTTTATTTTCCCTTCTGCTGTCCTTGCCTTTAAGTCAGATCTAAGAAAACATTGCCAAGAATGACATCAAGGAGTTTGCCACCCACTTTTCTTCTGGGTGTTTTATGGATTCAGTTCTTATGTTCAAGTCTTTAACCCATTTTGAGTTTATTTTTGTGTGCAGTGTAAGAAAGTGGTCCAGTTTCATTGTTTTGCATGGGGCTGTCCAGTTTTCCCAGCACCATTTGTTAAAGAGACTTTTTCCCAAGGCATATTCTTGCCTCCTCTGTGGAAGATTAAGTGGCCATATAATCGTGGGCTTATTCCTGGGCTGTGCACTCTGTTCCTCTGATCTATCTACAGGTTTGTTTTTGTGCCAATACCACACTGTTTGAGCACTACAGCTTTGTAGCAGATCTGGAAATCTGAAATTGCAACATCTATAGCTTTGTTCTTCTATACCTAGTGTAATGTCATGTCAACGGTTTCATTCTTCTTTTCCAATTTGGATGCCTTTTATTTCTTTTTCTTGCCTAACTGCGGTGGCTAAGACTTCCAATCCTGTGTTGAGAAATGTCATTGTCCTTGTCTTCTTCCTGATCTTAGAGGAAAAGCTTTTAGCTTTTCACTGTTGGAATATTATTTTAGCTGTGGGTTTGTCATATATGGCTTTTACTGTGTTGAGGTATGTTCCCTCCATATGAACTTTGTTGAGAGCTCTTGCCATAAATGAATGTTGCCTTTTGTCACATGCTTTTTCTGCATCTACTGAGATGACAATATGATTTGTATCTTTCTTCTCTTACGGTGGTGCATCACACTAGGTCACACTATTCTGCAGATGTTGAACCTGCCTTCCATCCCTGAAATCAATGCCACTTGACCATGATGCATGATCCTTCTAATCTATTTTTTTTTAAATCTATTTATTTGATTTGCCAGTATTTTGTTGAGGATTTTTGCATGTATGTTCATCAGGAACATAAATTTCTTCATTTTTGTGGTGTCCTCTGGTTTTGATATCAGGATAACTGCTGGCCTCATAAAATGACTTTGAAGCTGTTCTTCCCCTTCCTTTTTTTTTTTTTTGGAAGAGTTTGAGAATAATAAGCATTAAATACTCTTTGAACATTTAGTAGAATTCACCAGTGAATTCTGGTCCTGGACTTTGTTGGGAAGTTTTAGATTAATGATTTAATCTCCTTTTCAGTAACTGGTCTATTTACATTTTCTGCCTTTTCATGATTCAGCTGTGCTAAGTTGTATGTTTCTAGGAATTTATCCATTTCCTGTAGGTGGTCCAGTTTGCTTGTGACTGTTCGTTGCCCCTGTTATGATTCTTCATATTTCTATGGTGTCAGTTGTAACTTCTTTTATTCTGATTTTGAGCCCTTTCTCTCTTCATGAGTCTAGTCACCAATTTTATCTTTTCGTGGAACCAACTCTTGGCTTCATTGATCTTTTTTGTTATCGTTCTAGTCTCTATTTTACTTATTTCCACTCTGATCTTTATTTTTTCCCTCCCTCTACTAACTTTGGGTTTCATTTGCTCTTCTTTTCTAGTTCCTTTAGGTTTAAAGTTAGGCTGTTTGGAATTTTTCTTATTTCTTAAGGTAGGCCTGTATTGTTATGAACGTCCCTCTTCTAACTGCTTGGGCTGCATCCCAAGATTTTTGGCATGTCCTCTTTCTGTTTTCATTTGTCTCTAGGTTTTTTTTTTAATTTCTCCTTTGTTTCCTTCAAAGGTCCCTTCGTTTCAGTGGCATGCTGTTTAATCTCCATATTTTTGTGATTTTTCCAATTTTCTTCTTGTAACTGATTTCCAGTCTTATGCCATCATGGTTGAAAAAGATGTTTGATCATTTCAACCTTGTTAAGTTTACTGGGACTTTTTGTGGCCAAGTATGTTATTAACTCTGGGGAATGTGCCATGGCACTCCTGCTGCTTTTGAATGTGATGTTCTACATAGATCTACTAAGTCCATGTGGTCTACTGTGTCATTTGAGTCCAATGCTTCCTTACAGACTTTTTGTATGAGTGATCCAATAATTGACATAAGTGGATTGTTAAAGTCTCCTCCTTTATGGGATCACTGTCTCTTTCTCCCTTCATGTCTGCTGATACTTCCTTGAAACATTTCAGTGCTATGTTGGGTTCACATACATTTATAAATATTACATCCTCTTGCTAGACTGATCCCTTTATCATTATCTATTTAATGCCCTACTTGATGTTCTATAAGTCTTTGAGGCTATATGAATAGAAGCTACCAAATCCTTCTTTTCATTTATACTTGCATAAAGTATCTTTTTTCATACCTTCACTTTAATGCTATGTGCCCTTACTTTTGAAGTGAGTCTCTTGTCAGTGGCACAGAGAGGTCTATTTTTTTTTTCCAGAAGCCCATTCAGTCACTCTACATCCTTTGGAGAATTTAGTCCATTTACATTTAATTTTAATAGTTATGTACTTCTTGCCCTTTATTAACTGCTTTCTAGCTGTTTTTATAGTTTCTGTTCTTTTATTCCTCCTTTCTCTCTTACTTTGATGTCTGGTAACTTTCTTTAGTTTTAGATTCTCTTCTCGTTTTCTTTTGTGGATTCACTGAAAGTTTCTGTGGTTATCATGAGGTTCAGATGTAATAACATCTTATGTATATACTGATGTATTGTAAGTTCATAGCAACTTAAATTTGAATACATTCCAAAACTCTACATTTTCATCCCCCTCTGTTAATGTTTAAGGTTTTTGATATCACATTTTACAACTTTTTATGTATTCCTTAACTAATTACCGTACTTTTAGTTAATTTTACTACATTTGTCTTTCGAACCATATTAGCTTTATGATTGACTACCTTCACAATATATTTACCTTTTTCCACTGAGATTTTCACTTTCATTTGTTTTCTTGTCATTAATTAGTGCCATTTCTTCTCAGCTTAAAGAAGTCCCTTTAAAATGTCTTGTAAGACTGGGTGAGTGGTCTTGTTAGATGAAAACTTTTTATCTCTCCTTCAATCCTGAGTGGCTACCTTGCTGGATAGACTATTCTTGGTTGCATTTTTTTTTTCCATTTAGTACTCTGAATATGCCCTGCTGCTCCCGTCTGCCTTGCAAAGTTTCTGCCCAGAAGCCTGCTGACAGCCTCGTGGGTTTACCTTGTGTATAAACAAGTTTTCTCTCTTGCTGCTTTTAAGATTCTCTAGCTTTAACTTTTGATGTTTTAATTGTATCCTGGGGTGAACCCCTTTGGATTCTTATTTAGAATTCTCTGGGCTTCCTGGATGTGGATGTCTGTTTCCTTCCCCAGATTAAGTAAATTTTCAGCCATTATTTCTTCAGCTAAGTTTTTCTGCTCCTTTTTCTCCCCCGTCTCCTTATGGGGTTCCTATAATGTGAATGTTACTTTACTTGAAATTGTCCCATGAGTCACCTAAGTTATCTTCATTTTTTAAAAATCTCTCTTGTGTTTGCTTCTCTGTGTGGGTGAGCTCCATGGCTTTGTCCCGTTTGCTCTCTGACCTGCTCTTCTGGTTCACCCAGTCTACTGTTGAACCCCTTGAGTTCCTGCATTCTGCTTCAGCTCTGTGACTACCTTTTTGTGCTCTCTCGTATTTTCTCTTTCTGGTGCAGTTCTCACTGCACTCAGCCAGTCTTCTCCCAAGTTTGGTAGGCCTCTTTATGACCATTGCTTTGAGCTCTTTATCAGGTAATTTACTTATACTGCCATTTCATTAAGGTGTTTTCCTGAGGTTCTATCTTGTTCTTTTGCTTGGGAGATAATTTTTCTGTCTCTTCATTTTGCCTAATTTTCTAGGTATTTTCTTCCTACATATTAGGCACAACAGCTACCTCTCCCAGTGTTGAAGAAGTGGCCTTGTGTGGATTACCTGAGGCAGAGATGCACAGTCCCATAGGTAAGCAGTGCCGGGTGCCCCAGGGTAGTCCCGAGTGTGGCTGCAGGCACCTGCTGGCTGTGGCCCTGAGGGGTATGGACTCACCTGGCAAGCTGAGTATAGTTAAGGCCAGGGGAGGACAGGGTGCTCACCCCACTGGCTGTGGCGCGCCTGTGGTACGGGGGTTGGGACATGCCCAGGTTATAGGAAGATTGCCAAGATGCCTAACGCCAACATTGGCATTCACGAAGTACGACGGGATGGCAAAAATGACACCTGCCAGCACTTCCGTCCCAGGAAGAGTCCCAGAAAGGGTCCTGATTCTCTGGGATTTGCTTTAAGAATAAGGGAGTCTCCTTTCTGTGTGGCCTATACGCTTCTCAAAGTGCACCTTTCGCTCTGGGTCCCAGGGTAAACTCAGTGCAAACTCTTTATGGGCAGGCTCTCCGTTCCCCATAGTTTTGCAATTTTCCTGGACACAACCCCCACTGTTTTACATTTCAGTGGCCCACCTCTCTGGTGCAGACCCCAAGGATTGAGGTGCCTGATTTTGAGATCCCTCCTGATTGTGGGTTGTGCACTGGGGGTGGGCTGTTTGGTGAGAGCGTGTCTCTGTCTCTTCTACCCATCTCCACGCAGCCTTTATCATATGTTTTCAGGACTTTTCCAGAGGACGTTATCCACACATAGGTTTGCTGTGTCTCTGGGAGGTGGTAAGTTCAGGCCTTCTTACACCTCCATCTACTCTAAAACACTTCTATGGAATATCCCATTTCCTCTGTGAGTCCCCACAAAGGTGGCACCAGGTGGCACCCACATGTCAGTCAGGCAGCTGCTATTTCAACAGGACCATACTACAAATAATTGGTTGCATTTTTTTTATCTCACCGAAAACTGTAAAATATCCTGAATTGCTGTAGTAAATGGTAACACGTTCTTTCTAGAAGCCATTCCAAAGTCGGTACAGATTCTAGTTCTTCTAAACCACCTACTTTAGTAACCTGCAAATATAAAGCACACAACCATGACTTTCTTTAAAACAAATATGCACTGTCTTCAAGGACTTAGGAACCCCTGTGTTTGCCTCGGAACTACTTGTCTTGATAACAGGCCTGTTCTGTATACAAGCTCCACCACGTCATCTACACCCAACCTGGTGTCTGGTCCCACATGCTGCTATTCTTGCCATTTTTCTGGTGCTGTTTCTTGTGCTCCAATAAAGAAAGAATAAGCGAAACCTCTCCCTCACCCTGACATAGTTTTCATAAATATCTGTTCTTTTCAGTCTCATAATTCTCAGTTTCTATAAAGTGGTATTTATGAGCTCAGTTTTAACAACGGGAGAGTAGTGGTTCCAGAGGGGCTAATAATCCCATTGCCAAGACACCCCATTCTGACATTCCAGGACCACAGGCCTTTCTGTCATCAAGGAACTCTATTCCAAAGAATCCCTCTCCCCTCCTTGCAAATGTTAGCGTCTTCTTAAATTTCTTCTGGAAATGAAAGGATGCCTACATCAGCACATATGTATTTAGAGGCACACTTTTATTTATACAGAAGTTATTCCTTCCACATTTGGTTGATAACACACACGGGGGCGTCTCTGCATGTGCCCCTATAGATGTGCCTCACTCGCTGTGGCCCTGCTCACGCGTGCCGACGTTGGGGCCGGGTGGCTGGGGCACTAACACCAAACAAACGGCCAAAACGAGTAACTGTAGAATCACAACTTGTGATCATTCTCAAAGTGCTATGTGAGTGTGCTAGGGGAGTGGGGTTTCCACCTCTGGCGATGTTTCTGGCAAACCTGAGAGAACAGTTTTTCTTTTAATGTAATAATTCCTAATACGTCAGCAAATCCCTGCAGTCTCGTTTTCTTTTTTAAAAAAAACAACAACACTTAAAGCATCTGAGATATAACCGAATCCTAAAACTTAAATCTCTATAGAAAAGAAAAGGAACCTCGCCATTAAAAAGCTTTTGCCTAACGAGGATCTTAAACTTAAGCTACTTCTCGAATGGCCAGGTCTGAAACACACACAGATTCTAAAGTGACTAATATTCTTCCATCCTGACTCTCCAAGCTGACCACGCCCTCCCTCTGTTACCTTGGAGACAGATGATGCTGTAATGACCCAGAATTCTTTGCTGTGTCTGGCTCTGTGGGCAGAGACCACCTGAAGGTCATACGGATTGTAGAGACCTTTTCGATTTTTCCGAGAAAGGCAATATATAAATTCTCCATCATCTTTTAAAGGTTCCTGAGGTTAAAAACATTTTAATTAACTTGACCAAATTAAGTAGTAACGTGGCCAAACAGGTCACTCAATAAATTGAAACAATTTTAGATTAAAATTAAGAACATCATGACTGAGGCAAGCCAACATCAAATTGTGTCTAACCAAAGTTCAATGAGATCCTCTGAAAGATTTTTTAATTTTTTTAATGTTTTTTATTTATTTTTGAGAGACAGCATGAACAGGAGAAGGTCAGAGAGAGAGAGGGAGACACAGAATCTGAAGCAGGCTCTAGGCTCTGAGCTAGCTGTCAGCACAGAGCCCAATGCAGGACTTGAACCCACGAACCGTGAGATCATGACCTGAGCCGAAGTCGGATGCTTAACTGACTGAGCCACCCAGGCGCCTCCTTATGAAAGATTTAAAATATATAATTTTCATTCTTATAATGTGAGAAATATTCATGAAAACTGATCTATGTGCTTACTCACACATGCTTATTCACTCAGAGAACTCAGCAACGTACAGTTTACACACATGCCCCTCTTTCAGTAAATCTGCCAACACCAGAAGACTTTTGAGCATATTAATCATTTATTTTGGTAATGATGGTGGCTCGGTATTATCATAACAGTAGTTAATATTTGTTAAGTAAGTAATAAATATCTTATAAGTAATCATTTCGTATACATTTATAACTCCAAGAATTTAATCTCTTAAATCTAATTGTTTAAATTAACCAAGGGATGATGATCATTAAACAGATGCAGAAATTAATAGTCTGAGAAATTAGGTAATTTGAGGAGAGTCACAAAGACAGGCAGGGGCAAGCTAAGATGTGACCATGTGTCTGACCAAACCCACACTCTGACACACTGCGATTTTCTATAATGCCTGCTTCTTTTTTCCTGGCATTATTGAGAAATCAGCCATTTGTAAGTGAAATTTATTTCTTCTCACTTTGAAAATTTTTAACTTTTACTATGAACACTTTACAAGAAAGTTCAATTTAATCATTTCTGGATAATTAAATTTTATTACTAAAAAAAAGCACTGAGTAGTCTTTATTATAATTCAGTGATGCCCTCAGACACTACTGAACTGAGTAAACAGTTTCTAATTACTGGAATCTGAAAGTTTGGATCCAGTTTTACTTCTTAAAAAGCAGTCTTCCCTGAAGGCCATTCCTGTTCCTCCTCAACATCTCAGCCATTTTTTGTTCTTGTTCTGACCTGCCACCATGGATCCCTGGAAGCCTCGAGAAACAGGTCTATGAACCACGAGTCAATGTTAGCAACTCAGCCCTGGGTGGTGACGTGCTGGTATGCGGCTGTGTGACAGTTACTGGGCCACTCGAGGCACTTCCGTTGTAACTGTCATTCAAAAACCTGAGGATGTCAGAGCCTTAACCCAGACCCAACTCTGCGAACAGGTCGTGCATGGAACTAAATCACCCACGTACAAGCAGCACAATGTGCGCCAACTAAATGATCATCTTCCAATTAAAGACAAGTATGTGTTTCACATTCTCAGTCCAGTCCTGTCTTCACTACAAACGAGGCCTACCTTGTCAGCAAGTTCAGGGGCAGAAGCCACAGCTGGGCCTGGGTGCCTGTGTCTGTAAATCAAGTGTCCCTGGAACAGAGCCACACCCACTCGTTGCTCCTGCACCAGGGGGGACAGGCCTGAGTAGTTACCACAGAGGTTGGGGGCCTGCATGGCCTAAAGTATTTACCACGTGGTGCTTTTCATAAAAAGGGGGTCGGCCCCTGGTCTAGAAACACCGTTCTCAATTGTGAGTCAGAATCACCCGGGGAAGCTGCCCCAGACATGGATCGCAGGGCTCCACGCCCAGACTCTCTGACCCACAGGCTCTGGGGTAGAGAGGGGAATGGATCCCGGTTGCTAACAAGCCCCAGGGGATGCCGAGGCCACTGGTCTGGGGCCTTCCCTTTGCACACCCTGGGTCTACCAGTAGGCCAAGAGGGACCTGCCCAGTCTTCCATCTCCTGTAATGGTCACAGGAGGCACAGTTACTAGTTCTTGTCACCCCTGTCCCCTCCGGTCACATGACCCAGACATGCTAAAACATCCCCGAAGAGGAAGGGATAAGGACACACACAGACAACGAAACAGAAAGTTGGGTGCCAGTCAGTAAGAAGGAATGTACGTGCTACAAAAGTACACTAGGATTTCTTTTAAATCACAAAAAAACTGATAAACATGAACATGAGAATAGATTCAAATTCCAGGCAGATGTTGTATCTGCTCTCCGTTCTCAGAATAAGTGAAATGAAATGACATCCAGCACTTTTCGTTTTTGTTTTGGGGATTTTTTCTGACGTCCAACACTCTTACAAGCAAGCACTCTGATACCATGATTGTCAACTTGATACTAATGTGATAATATCTAGTTTTGATGCGATATGTGGAGAGAATGAGATAAATATTAAGATACACCTTCAAAGACCAACTTTTATAGCACAAAACAGAATGAAACAGACGAATACCTTTAGAATAATCTCCGGAACTGCAAGCCTGGAACTTTTGTATTCCAGGCGGCGCTGCGGTAACACCGTCTGCCAACCAAACTTGTCTCTTAGCCTAATAATATGCCTTGTCACGTCAGTATCCTCTGGTTCTGGTTGACAAAAAAGACCGAATGTAAGTGTGAATGTGGGCATCACCTAAGGAAAATGTCCACTACTCCAAATGTTTCTACATAGAGAAAACATTTTAATGGGAACTTAAAGTTTACACGAAAGCTCTATAATTGGAAGAGAAAAAAATAGCTTAAAATTTACTTTTAACAGAAGCTAGAAAGAAGGAATATTTTTCCACCTAAGAGAGGTAGCAGAGAAGCCTTAATTCTGCAATCCCACAGTTGGTGGCACGAGAAGGTACTGGAACAGGAGCCAGTTAGAAGGTTTTCTTAACAGAAGCCTAAGCTGGGGTGGAAGCAGTAAGGCCGGGAAAGAAGTGATGACCACGCATGGTGGAAATACGCTTCCTGAAGATACTCATCCGACAGACCCTTCTGAGACCTTTTCCTCTTGATCTCTTAGTAGCTAAAGAGTCTCTTGGAACTGGTCCCGTTGCGTGGCCTGTATTCACCATGCCTACAGGCTTTCCTCGTAGCCCTTAAGCTTTTCCTGATACATCACAGGGAAAGATGCAATCCCAACACCATGCTGGCAAAACCAGCAATGCTATGGAGTTGTTCAACATTTCTGGTCCCTCAGGGCGCCTGGGTGGCTCTGTTGGTTGAGCAGCTGACTTCAGCTCAGGTTATGATCTCATAGTCTGTGAGTTCGAGCCCCGCGTCAGGCTCTGTGCTTCACATTCCGTGTCTCCTTCTCTGTGTCCTTCCCCCACTCTTGCTCTGTCTGCTTCTCTCTCCCTCTCTCTCTCTCTCTCTCTCTCTCAAAAGTAAAGGAAGAAACATTAAAAAAAATTGTTTTTAAAGATTTCTTGTCCTCTAGGGACGCCTGGGTGGCTCAGTTGGTTAAGTAGCCAACTTCGACTCTGGTCATGATCTCATGGTTTGCAGGTTTGAGGCCCGCGCTAGGCTCTATGCTGACAGCTCAGAGCCTGGAGCCTGCTTCACTTCTCTGTCCCCCTCTCTCTCTGTCATTCCCCTGCTTGTGTTCTCTCTCAAAAATAAATAAACAAACATTAGAAAATATATTAAAAAAAAAAAAAAAACTTCTGATCTTCTAGAAACCACAAACACCAGCTGATCAAAACAGGGTCTCTGCTAAGGATTAAGGGAGACTCAAACTGTTGTATAAGAGTCTCAGGACAGGACGAAGGTAAGGTACCACCCCCCCCCCCAAAAGAATCAGCTCCTCTTTAAACTCTGTGCCCTCGGCCGCACCCTAGTCTGGGCCCTATCAGTTGCTGAAACACAGAAGGAAACTTCAAATACTTAATTGACAAGACAGCTAGTTGATGTTAGTATAAATGGACACTAGTATAAGGGCCTGAGAGGTAAGGAATACGGAGAGGGTACAAACACACCTACCTAACGAAATCAAAGGAGTATGGTTGTGACATAGGAAAACAGACCAGTAGAACAGATTAGAATCCAGAGATAGGACCATTTACAAAAGACAATCTAGTAAGTGAAAAAGGGATTTCAAATCAGTAGCGGAATCGTTACTTGTTCAAAAATTATAATGGGAAAGTGCTTAGCCACTTAGAAAACTATGCAGTTAGGGGCGCCTGGGTGGCTTAGTTGGTTAAGCGTCTGACTTTCGCTTAGGTCATGATCTCGCAGTTCGTGGGTTCGAGCCCCGCATCGGGCTCTGTGCTGACTTCCAGCTCAGAGCCTGGAGCCTATTTCAGAGTCTGTGTCTCCCTCTCTCTGACCCTCCCCTGCTCACGCTGTCTCTCTCTCTCTCCTAGAAATAAATAAAAATATTAAAAAAAAAAGAAAACTATGCAGTTACATGCGAGTGTAAATTATAGATAGATTACAGAAGTAAATGTGGAAAAGCAAATGATAGAAGTATTAGAAGAAAATATAGACTACGTTCTTTTTTTTTTTTAATGTTTTATTTATTTCTAGGAGAGAGAGAGAGAGAGAGAGAGACAGCGTGAGCAGGGGAGGGTGGTCAGAGAGAGAGGGAGTCACAGACTAAAACAGGCTCCAGGCTCTGAGCTGGCAGTCAGCACAGAGCCCGATGCGGGGCTCGAACCCACGAACCGTGAGATCATGACCTAAGCGAAAGTCGGATGCTTAACCGACTAAGCCACCCAGACGCCCCTAGACTACGTTCTTAAAAAAGAATCAAAGCATGATAAAAAAAATAATAAATTTGACTTTTTCAAATTTAGCAATTTATATGCAAAAAAGCCATCATAAATAAAGTTAAAGCATAATTAATACTGAGGATAAAATGTTTACGACCTATGTAAGAAGCTGAGCATTAACGTGTAAAGTATTTAAAGAATTCTTCCCAATCAGTAAGAAATAAACATTCTGATGGCAAGATGAACAATTTATAGGAAAAGACAAGCAGCCAGTAAACACTAAAAAACATTCAACCCAGTTAGTAATCAGGAATTCGCAATTTAAAATTATAATGAAAAAGTCATTCTCACCCATCAGACTTGCAAAAAACTAAATCAGAAAATATCAAGTGCTGACCGGGGTATTCCTCTTACCCATTAAGTAACACGTCCATTCTTGGTGGCGACCTGGCAGATTTAATGAACTGATAGAGACCTTTGGGGAATGGAAGCAATTTAGGGCAAATTTAAAAATAAAGATTTTTCAGAATAAGGAAAATACATATCCTCCAAAAAGCTGAGGGGAAAATTTTGTAGGAAGCCAGATTAATTCAGAAAATCACAGATATTTACTAAAACCGGACAATACATTATACACCTGACACTTGAGGGTGAGGCCCTGCCCTAGATTGCTGGGTGCACCTTACGGGCCCAGACGGCAAGTCTTTACATCACAAATTGAAGATTGGCCTGCACTCCGCTTTCACAGTGAGTCAAGAATCCAGGTCCCAGGGGCGCCTGGTAGCTCAGTCAGGTGAGCTTCTGACTCTTGATTTCAACACAGGCCATGATCTCAGGATGGTGAGATCCAGTCCACACAGACTTGTGTGATCAGAGGCATGGACAGTAGGATCTCCTTTTTAAGAAAAATGAAGCCTGGGGCACCTGAGCGGCTCAGCTGGTTAAGTGTCTGAATTTCAGCTCATGTCATATCTTGTGGTTCGTGAGTTCGAGCCCCACATCGGGCTCTGTGCTGACAGCTCGGAGCCTGGAGCCTGCTTCAGATCTGTGTCTCCCTCTCTCTCTGCCCTGCCCCCGCTAGTGCTCTGTCTCTTGAAAATAAACATACATTAAAAAGTAATAATAATAAAAAATAAAAATAAATAAATAAATGAAGCCTGTTTATGTCAGGCCTGGAAATTTAAGTTTCAATAGCTTTATGACTCATCTGCCATGGACCATGGTGTGTCTCTGAAACATAGAAAAGTTTCCCTTTTCCTGTCAAACTGAAAATATTAATACAAATAAGAATTTGAGGCACAAAGAAAGTACAAACTGGAAAATGTCAGTGAGGAAATTCAGTTTAAATGAATCATTTACTTGCGGACTCAAACTCTGTGTCAGACAAAGACACAGAATTATTAAATGTAACGGTACCACAAAATTTTACTGAAAGGATAAGGCAAAGGCACACAACTCCTTTTATGTACAGTTCTCTCACTATGAGCTTCAGGGAGTGCTCCTAACTAAGAATACAGTCAGCAAACTGTCTGTCAATTTTTTGATCTATTGATATTTTAGGTTTTCAAGGATTTAGAAAACAATTCTAAGGAACCAAAATTCAGTAAGACTGTTTCTTCTAAAACCAGTGTCCTACATAAGCACATAAAAGCACAGAATAATCTGAAAAAAACATGGTGTCTTCTAAACAAGCCGGGTCAGTGGCACTACATACCTGTCCTGTCATAGGACACCAGCTTTTTCTTCTTAACTTTTGGACAAGCGTTAGTTTGATCCTTTTTTTTCTTTGATTTCTCTTTCTTCTTACGAGGAACTGATTTTGAAAGATCTTGCAGAATTCTACTTTCTTGAAGGTAATCTGAAAACAACAGCATTATTAACTGAATAACCAGCGAGCGCTACGAACGACACCAGGGCATGCTACGTGCTACGGGCCAGGCCACGCGGCCATCGTGATGTGATTTCAGGACCTAAGAGCACAAGCTCTGGGCAGAGGCCTATGCTCCGAGTGAGCGCAGCTACAAGCTTCCCCACCCAGTCCTGTGATTCACTTGGTGAGGAGCTGTTCCCCGTTCCTCCCTCACCTGGGACTGAGGACTGTCCAGGGAGGACCTCAGAGGCTGAAGTCAGTTCCTAAGTGTAAAGCACATGGTAAGTGCTAATGAAGACAAGTGTTAACTTTATTATCACAATAAATCTTTACAATGTGAATGCTCACGTGAAATACCAACGAAAGCTTTTTTATTAACTGCAATTTGGTAACAGAGGCCAGAATATGCTTAGCAACAGATCCAGGGAAGTCACATTCTGCTGATTTCCCAGATTCCTTCTATGACTCACCTGACCGGTGGGGGTCTCACATGAAGTACGCAGAAATTACTGAAAATGCACTTTTCGAAAGCAAATAAATTCTACACTTTCTCCTTGATAGGATGAAAATGCATGCAGTGTAAGGCAGTGACCTATGTCAAGTAAGCAGGTATAAGTCACAATGACTACACATCACACAAAATGAGTACAAGGGACACAGCCGGTACGTTCCGTTTCTGCCCAAGTCCCAAGTCAGGAGACACCCGGAGACACACACCCAGCCGCCCGGGGGCATCACGTGTGGGGGAGGGTAAGGACTTTCACTGCGGGCGGGCGACAGGGCTGGGGAGGAGAGAGGGAAGAGAACACAAGTACGCTTGTGTGTGAAAGAGCCGTGAAATCTTCCCTTCTCCTCAGCATCGAGTCCGGGAGCCCCTCGCACTCTGTGCCTGAGCTGAAAGCCGGCAGTCTCCCAGACGTCACGCACGTGCAGCCCTCACAGGCAGTGGGCGGTAACAGTCCTGCACCCCGCGTGCCTCAAGACCAGGAAGTGGGCTCGTTTTTGTCCCCGCTCCCGTTTACCACCCCCAAACCATTCCATCTGCTCTCCCTGAACACACCCTACACCCTGAAGCTCACTCCCGCTCACTACATCCTACGCTTGTGCAGCTCACTGATGTCCACCGATTGCCCTGGGGCCCTGGCTCCAGCAAGGGCCTGTTTCCTCAAATCACACCTGCCACCTCTCTGGAGTCTGGTACAATGCCCCAGCCCACTCTCTGACATCATTTCCAGCCCACCTCCGCTAACCAGCCCCCGATCACACCCTAGCGCCAGCCATCAACTGCCTGTCTCCTTCCTGCGCGCTTATAAGTCCCAACATCACGTTGTTTTCCTCATCAGCACCTCCAGTTCACGGCCCCATCACGTTCGATCCATCATCCCTGTTTACTTTCCTCTCTCTCTTTATGCAGCTGAACTCATGTTGCCAACACCCTGCACCCTCGCCGTCTTTTGATCTCATCGCCGTGGCACCAACAGCCCTGGACGAACCCACCTCTCCGTGCCTGGCGTGCCCACATCTGCGCAGCCCGGTGCCATTAGACATCAGCCCCCAGTGGAGTGGACCGGTAACCCCGAAGGTCACTCTTACTCATCACAGCCTGAAGCCCCACTGCTGGCCTGGCTCGCCTGCCCTGCAGCTCGTGAGTGGCCAGCTCAGGACTCCATGCACTCCAAGCTCTGAATCTCTACCTTCCACTCTCCATGTCTGCTTCCCGGGGAACATAAAGGCACCGGCGGGAATCCCTTCACCTTGCCGGGGCTACGCAAGCCAACGAACCCACACCCGCACCCGTCCTTTCCTCCTATCCCTCTGACTTAATAAGGGGGGTATGTTTCTCACACACAACACTCCTCCTGTCTTTTCGATAACAGCCATTCTAACAGGTATGAGGGACATCTCACTGGAGGTTAGATTTACATTTCCTTGATTACCTCTTGGCCATCTGCAGGTCTTAGGAAAAATTCAGGTCCTCTGCCCAGTTTTTAATTGGATTGGTTTATCGCTGTTGAGTTTTAAGAGTTCTTCATAGGTTTTGGATATGGCCCCTTATTAGATACATCACTTGCAAAGATTCTTCCATTTCACAGTCTTCATTTTGCTGGTGTTTTCCTTTGCTATGCAGAAGATTTTTGGTTTGATAAAGTCCCACATGTTTATACTGGCTTCCGCTGCCTTTGCTATTAGTGTCAAATCCAAAAACACATCCCATTGCCAAGACCAATGTCAAGGAGGTTTCTATGTTTTCTCCTAGGTGTTTCATGCTTTTAACACATTTAATGTATGTAATGAATTTGGTTTGCTAATATCTTGAGAATTTTTGCATGTTCATCAGTAATACTGGCCTGTAATTTCCTTTCCCGTGGCATCCTTGTCTGACTTTGATATCAGGGTGATACGGACCTTGTTTCGAAGTATTCTCACTTCTTTTAATTTTTTGGAAGAGTTTCAGGATTGGCATTAACTTTTCTTTGAATGTTTGGTAGAATTCACTAGTGAAGCCAATTGGTCCTGTACTTCTGTTTGTTGGGGGGCTTTTTGATTACTGAATTCAAATTCTTACTAGTATTTTTTCTGTCAAATTTTCTACTCGTTCATGAGCCAGTCTTGGTAAGTTGTAGGTTTCTAGGAATTTATGCATTTATTCTGGGCTACTCAATTTGGTGGCAGGCACATCATTGTTCATGGGGTCTCTTGGATCCTATGGTAACGGTAATAACATCTCTTCTTTCTAGTTTTACTTGAGTTTTTGGGTGTGTGATTCTTCCTAAAGGTCTTTCAACTGTTTATCTATTCAAAGAAACATCTCCTGGTGCCATTCATCTTTTCTATTGTCTTTTTAGTCTCCATTTCATTTATTTCTGCTCTGATCTCCGTTGTTTCCTTCCTTCTACTGATTTTTGGATCTGTTTTTTTTTCTACTTCAAGAATGAAGTTAGATTGAATTTTTCTCACTTACTGAAGTAGACCTGCACTACTATCGACTTCTAACTACTTTGTTACATCCTGCAAATATGGTATGCTGTATTTAGATTTTCATTTGTCTCAGATATTTTATTTGTTCTTTGATTTTTTCTTTGGCCCTTAGTTGTTCAGTAGCACGTTGCTTAACTCCACGTTTGTGAATTTTCCAGTGTGCGTTTTTCTAGCTTATTTCTAGTTTTTTGTTTGTTTGTTACCATTGTGGCAGATAAGATGCTTGATAGGATTCAATCTTCTTACAGTTATTGCAGCTTGTTTTGTGGCCTGTTGTATGATCTGTCCTGAAGAATGTCTGTGCTGAGTACACGTCCCCCATGTACACAGGTCTAGTCTGTTCCTTTGGGATGAAAGGTACTACTGCATCTGTTACATCCATCTGGTCTCACACATTAAGGCCAAGGTTCCCTTATTGTTTTGGGGTGTGGGGTTTTTTGTTCGGTTGTCTGTTTTTGGTCTGAATGATCTATCTACTGATGTGAGTGGGATGTTAAAGTCCCCTACCAGTACTGTTTCGCTATTTCTTTTAGGTCTGTTAACATAGGTGCCCTGATGTTGGGTACATGTTTACAAATGTTATACCTTCTTGCTGTACTGACCCCGTTATCACTATACACTGACGTCTCCGTCTCTTATTACATACAGTCCAGTACTACCCCAGCTTGCTTTCTTCTCGCTTCCATTCACATGGAGTATTTTTTTCTATCTTTTCCTTTCAGTCTGTATGTTTGTGCAACTGAAGTGAGTCTCCTGTAGGCAGCATATAGATAGGTCTTGTTTTTTATCCGTTTGGTCACTCTGTATCTTTTGTTTGGAGAATTAGTGTATTTACATTTAAAGACGGGAATGGACTTAAAGCCTTTTTGTTAACTGGCTATTTTGCAATTCCTTTGTTCCTTTCTTCTTCTCTTGCCCTCTTTGTGATCTGATGGTTTTCCCTAGTGTATTCTTACATTCCTTTCTCTCTATCTCTTGTGTATAGACCATAAGTTTTTGCTTTGTGCTTACCATGAGGCTAACATAAACAACTTATAATAATCTATTTAGGTTGATAGCAACTTAGGTTTGAATGCATTCTACAGTTCTTCACTTTTCTCCTCCATCCCTCGTTTATGTCTTTGATGTTCAGTTTACTCTTCTATCCTGTGTATCCATCAACAACATTTTGTGTTTATAGTTCTTTTTACTACTCTCAGCTCTTAACCTTCATACCACATAGAAGTAATTAACACCCCCCCCCCCCTTACATCAGATTACTCTAGCAGACCGTGCGGGCGGGCGCGCCTCAGTACACTCTCTGCTCGGTGGGACAGGTGGCCCGTGAGAAACGTTCCTCCAACTGTTACAGTTCAGCAGGACTCACACGTGCAAGTCCCATGGTCAGCAGAGCCAGGAGGTCAAAGGGGGTCTCCTGGGCGGCAGCCACAAAAATCAGGGCACCGGATGAGGGTGCATGCTCCCCTTGGGGAGGTGCTGGGGGGCTGGAGCAAGGCACAGGGAGAGGGTAATGCCAGCCAGCCTCCAGCGTCAGTTCCCGGTAGCCTCGTACATGTCATGGGTCAAAGCCCCAGCTTTCAAAGCTAGCTGTTTTAGGGGCTCATCTCTCAGGTATAGGCCTTAAAAGTTGGGGTACCCAATGTGGGGGTTCTAACTCTTTGCTCCTCAGGGAGCAGCTCGGGACTGAGTCCCCTCCTGGATGTGGGCTATGGTACCGTGGGCAGGGTTTATGGGAAGACTGTCTCAGCCTCTCCTACCCATTTTGAGGGGGCTTTGGCCTTCATTCCCCCAATCTGTAAGAGTTGATCAGTTAGTTTTGGGGTGTTTTCCAGAGGAAATGGCCACATACGTAGCTGTATTATTTGGTGTGTCTGTGGGAAGTGGGGAGTTCAGGGTCCTTCTACATCGACCATCTTGAACCAGGACCCACTCCCTCATTCCCAATAGTTATTTCCCTTGGCTTCTGTGACACGCATCGTCACCCTCTCACTCATCACCCCATTGAGCCTGACTCTGACCATCCCCATGTATCCACTATAGCCACCTCCTGTTTCTGTCTCACTTCATACACTCTCCTTAAGCAATCTCACCCATGTCCACGGCTGAAGTTTCCATCCACATAATCATTCCAGATAGTTCGAATTCAACGTGTTCCCAACTGAACTCATGATCTGCTCCCAGACCCGACAGATCCTGACTCTTCTTCAGGGCTTCCTATCTCAGAGAACAGCACCATTGTTCATTATGTCCAACAAGCCAGAAACCTAGCTGTCGCTTCTGACACCACCTCTCTCTCACCAACCCGTCACCCTAGACAATAATCCTACCTTCAGAATATCCAAAGCCTTTTGGGGCACCTGGGTGGCTCAGTCGGTTGAGCATCCAACTCTTGATTTCGGCTCAGGTCATTGTCCCAGGGTCATGGGATCAAGCCTCGCATTAGGTTCTGTCCTGAGCAAGGAGCCTGCTTAAGATATTCTCTTTCTCTCCCCCTGTCCCTCCCCCTGCTTGTATGCTTGCTCTCTTGGTCTCCCTCTAAAAAGAAAAAAAAAAAAAAGAATATCCAAAGGCTCCCTGTTATCAATTCTTGTTCCCTCCAGTCTATTCTTTTTTTTTTAATTTATTTCTAGGAGACAGAGAGAGACAGCGTGAGCCGGGGCGGGGGGGGGGGGGGGGGGGGGAGTCACAGACTCTGAAACAGGCTCCAGGCTCTGAGCTGGCAGTCAGCACAGAGCCTGACGCGGGGCTCGAACCCACAAATTGCAAGATCATGACCTAAGCAAAAGTCGGATGCTTAACTGACTAAGCCACCCAGGCGGCCCCCTTCAGTCTATTCTTGAATGGGCACCCAGAGTGATCTTTTCAAAGCAGAAATCTGATGTCAGCTCTGTTTTAAACTTTTCCATGGCCTTTGCCTTCACAGGATAATGACCTGGGTCCTCACAGCCAAGGAGCCACTACTCCATCTGGCCCTATATTCCTATCCTGCCTTGTACTTCAGCCCCTGTTTACTGAAGAAAGCCACAGGAGGGCCAGAGTACTTCTGCTTCCTACTCGCTGGAGAGGAAGCTTCGCCAGCCCCGCGAACACTTGGCCATAAGGCCCAGGCAGGCGCTCCAGCGAGATGAGCACCGAAACGGGGCCAGGGAGCTGCAAGCCAGGTGTTTCCATGTGATTACCTTGATTTTAATGTTGTTTTTTTATAAAGTAGGAAGCATAATCAAGTAAGAGGGGTGAAGGTTAAACCACAACAGTGTAAACAGACGTGGTGGGCAATGAGAGCAGGCAAACCAGCAGGAGGCAGTGGGAGGGCCCCGCCCACGCCAGAGACCACGACTCCGGAGGAAGAACTAACACAGGAGTGCGGGACTGCTCTGCACAAAGGCTTATTGGTCCAGGGTGACAGCGGGGAAAACCCACAATCCCACTGCTTGGCGCTGATGTTCTGCCACCCCAGGAGAGAGCAGAGAAGTGGGAAGAGCTGAGGACACTGGTATCCAAGAGGCTGCTGGGGGGGTGGGGGAAGAGGGGAGGGCCATGGATGGAGAGCAGGGAGTGACCTTTATAAAAGTGAGGATATAAAAGCTGTGGACGGGGCACCTGGGGGCTCTGTCAGGGAGGCGTCCGATTCTTGATTTTGGCTCAGGTCATGATCTCACTGTTCATGCGTTCAAGCCCTGCGTCGGGCTCTGTGCTAACAGCTTGGAGCCTGGGACCTGCTTCAGATTGTGTGTCTCCCTCTGTCTCTGTTCCTCCCCCCTCTCACCCTCTGTCTCTGTCTCAAAAAAAAATTTTTTTTTTAATTTATTTTATGTATGGTTAACAGCAGAACTTGAGACAGCAGAAAGAAGACAACCAGTGGAGGCATGAGGAGTCACCAGGCTCCCAAAGACAAGAGCGACAAAGGAGGTCACAGCACAACCGGAAGGCACAGGGGCCTTCAGGGAACGCTCAGCCAGCGTGAGGGTCCGCGCCTCACAAAAGCCCCTGAAAGCCACAGAAACGCCAGATATTCTCGGTGGTGGCAGTGAGATCATTGCTGCTACTTTGACTGTGATGATTATGTCCCCTCTAAGAGGCAAGCGCTCTATCTGAATACACTACCATCCACCAAGACTAACGAAACCCACCAAGTACCAAACCTTGTGTTTTGAAGGTGAACTAAGATTTCAGTGTACGGCACTCATTTCCTCAGTTTATACTGTGGAAATTTCTTTCCATCTCCATAAAAGAAAACATAAGTTGACGTGCCTGGATAATAATCTTGATCAATTTCTTCCGTCTGTCCCGACTTGGAGGCTACAGAAGACGCTCCAAATGTTTTATATTTTAAGGTTTCTTTTTCTGCTGCTTCAGCTGCTGGAGTCTCTGACGGCGTGTCACCCTTGTACTCCTGCTCCTCACGGCTCAGGGAGCTGATGTGACAAAGAAAGGAAGATGCCACAGTTAACGTTCTCCAGGACTTGAAGCCTGAACCTTCATTCTATGCGGTGTTACATCTATCCTTCCAAACAATTTTTTATAGACACTTTAGAAAGCAGATCTGAAACAGGGAGAGTCTAGTTAAATGCAAAAGACATCTGATATTATCATTGAAATTTTAATGCTGGAAAGGACGTTAAGAATCCTCACTTAAACCAAAAGATGAAGAACCGTTACCCAGTTCATGGCAGAGTGAGGTCAGAATACAGTTTTCTGGAATTCAGCACCAATCTTTATAAAACCATCACCAACAACCACACTTACCAAGATTCAAACCAAAATCTTTTTGCAATACATTAGCCAACTGCCTATGTGTAAATGCTGGAAAATCTTTTCATTAAGAACCGAATCCCTTTGCTTTTCTATATAAATCATGTTGCATTCTCAAGAATATTTTGTAATCTTTCCACTAAGATCAAACATATGATTTTATTTTATTTTTTTTTTAATATCTTTATTTATTTCTAGGAGAGAGAGACAGCATGAGCAGGGGAGGGTCAGAGAGAAAGGGAGTCACAGACTCTGAAATAGGCTCCAGGCTCTGAGCTGGCAGTCAGCACAGAGCGCGACGCGGGGCTCGAACCCACGAACCGCGAGATGATGACCCAAGTGAAAGTCGGACGCTTAACCGACTAAGCCACCCAGGCACCCCCAAACATATGATTTTAAAAATGATTTTTTTCCAGGTACTGGAGTTTTCATTACTATTACAAATGATAGTTATGACTTATTTACATTTTCAATCAATTGCTGGATTAAAATTCACTTACATATATTGATTTTAATCTAGCAGTCTTGCAAAATTAAATTCACTAATTATGAAACTCTGTAAATTCTTTTGTACTTTTTTCTAGACATTATCTATAAATGATTACAGTTTGTTTCTCCTTTTTAAAACCTTTCAGCTTTCATTTCCTTTTGTTCTTTCTTCCAGCCTTATCTTACTGCCCTAGGACCCTCTACAGGATGTGATCCTTTTATAGGATGTCACATAGAATTGGCAATACCAAGTACCCTTTTCTCAATTTAAAAGGCATACTTTTAGTACTTGACCATTAAAAATATTTGTTTCATGTTTTTGGTAAGTGCCCTTAATCATGTAGCTTGCTAAGGATTATCACTAAGAGACAATGCGTGCATTTTATCAAATGCTTTTCTTCCTTTGATCTATTAATGGTAATTGGTATTGATGCATTTTCTAATGTTCAACTAACCTTGTATTTTCTTGATACTCAATTTGATCTTGGTGTATCATTCACTTTTACAAGCTACTGTAACCTGTAGGTTAGTATCTTATTTAGGGTTTTTTGCTTTTCTTTTCTTTTTTTTTTTTTTTAGGGCTTTTTGCTTCTAAGGTTGTGAATGAAACTGACTTGGAAGACTGTACCCTAACTCAATTTAGGGATTATTTTCTCTTTTTCTGTTCTGTGGAAGAAGTTGTAAAACACCGGACTTATTTTTTCTTTAATTGATGTTAGAACTCATAAACCTGTTAGAAACTCATGAACTTTGGAAATCTGCCTGAGCCTGGTAAGTGTGGTCTGTGGGGGAGAGGCTTTGGGGGGGGGGGGCAGTCGTGATTCATAACTACCAACGTGACAATTTTAGTGGATAAAAAGTTTGTCTTGCCTATTACTTACTGAGCCTATTTTGTTCAAATTTTTCCTAAAAATTTGATACCGTGTTTCGGACTACTGCCATTAAATAGTAAATTTTCTCATCTCTGCAGATCTTCCTGGACTGACCTACCACTGCCCCGCTCCGCACAAGTGTGTTCAGGAGGCGGTATGCAAGGAGAGCACGTGCTAGTGCTGTCCCCTGGAGTTGTGCACTGGTGACTGTCTTTCTCCTGGCCAATCAGATCAACAGCCGTGGCTTGATCTGATTTTCTCTATTTTATCTTTGGTTTCTGCTGTTTGTTACTATGTGGTGTTTACCTCCTTCTTTCAACATTCTTTTGGTTTATTCTCTTCCATTTTTTTCCCCTATTCTTCTTAAAATGGGTTGTTGCCACATTAATTTTTCAGCCCTTCCTGACTGTTGGTAAGAGCTGTAGAACCACACATCTCTCGTGGCACACCCGGCTCAGCGGCCGCGCCCACACAGCCCGGGGTTGGTGCGGCAGGTGCAGCCTTTCCCTGCTGCTCTGTCACTTGCTCTTCTCCACTCAGTTCTAAATTGCTTCCAGTCCAGTTTCCTTTATGGGGCCTCCTTCCACCATCACTGCTCAAAAAGGTGTGTTTTTCAGACCTTGTATTTCATTTCCGGATGGAGGGGGTTCCTAGCTAACCTCGTGTAACCAATTTCCGTGATTAACGAGCAGGGACTCTAACTTTATGGTCTTTACTGGGACCCCTTGTAACCATTCCCTATGACCCAGGAGAGGGTGCGGAAGCATCTGTTACTTTCCGTCTGTTGGTACCTTGTGCTTTCCAGGATGTTTCCACACGTGCTTTTTTAAAATCCAGTTTGACATTAAAAAAAAAAAAAAAAAAGAAGTCTAGCCCACTTGTATTGTGATTATAGGCATTTTTGGAATTTATTTCTATCATCTTATTTTTGTTTCCTACGTATCCCTTTTCTTATCTTTACTCCCCAATTTTCTATCTCTACCTTTTCATTCGTCTTTCTGGAGAATTTCCTCAGCTTTATTTCTGCTAATATATATTTAATTTCCAAAAGCTATTTTTCTTCTCCAAATGTTCCACATTTCTCTTAATGCTGTTTCTTCTGTCACCTGACAATCTGTGATAGGCTCCTGTGATTTGTGTTTCTGCCAAGCCATATGCTTCCCTCCGATGGCCATGGGTCACACATTCATACTGAAGAACCCTCAATGACATCAAGCAATGGCCGCTCCTCAGGCACGTGCGCCTTCTGCCAAATGGCAGACTTCACGGTGGGGTAATCGAAGGTTTTCCCAACTGGCGTTAAGTGTGGATCTTTCCTGTTTGCTGGCCAGCTTCCCAGAGGACACTTTCCTTAGCCTTCGGCTCAGAGTGGTCTCAGAGGCAAGGAGAGGAAGAGCACTAAGGTCACCTCGGATCCAGAGATGGCCACCTACTTTCACTGGGTCTGCCGTCCCCACGTCCCTGACTCTCTTGTTGGGATGAAGAAGAAACACTCTCCTGGCTGAGTGAGCACAAGGAAGGGCATCGCATTGGCCTTCTAACAGCTTCTGCCACAAACGTCCAAGTTCCTGCTCTGCAGCCACGCCTCCTCAGTCTCTGGCCTCCTCACAGAGGGGAGGGGAGAAAAGAGGAGGGAAGCAGGGGTGAAGCAGCTGCTTCTGGGCTAACACCTGCTGCCACCGGAGGTGTGCCCCGTCCGCTCTGCGGAATTAGCGATCACTCCACCGTGTTTCCAGTCTTCCACCGGGATCTCCCACACGCTTTTGTCTCATCCCTCATCTCTCTGTGGGTTTGTTCCTTAACCTCCTCCTACCACTTTCGTGAGTGAGGATTCAGGAAGGGGAGCGCTAAGAGCCAAGAGCCGAACCCATCATGTTTCCTTCTTTTCTTCCCGAGTGGATGCTGAGCCGCCGCGAGGACTGTGCGGAAGGAAAACACCTGCATCTCCTCACCTCTTCCCCACCTGCTCCGCGCTGCCCTCCTCCACGCTGAGCTGCCGTTTGCTATCCACCACCTACACCCAGAACTAACCACCTTTTCCTTCCTGGGGCTTTTCAGGTTTTGGTTACTTTCTCTTTTCCATCAACTCCTCTCTCACTTTTTTGGCATATCCAACATTGGGCTGGGGAAGGAGCGAGGAGCCAGCATTAACCGCCTACCCAGCCAGGGACCTCTCCCTAAGAACCTTTCCCTCGTAGGCTCCAGCACCCTCATCCAGCCCTCACGGGACCCTGCATTTTCACAGTCAGAGCAGCTTACCGCTACCATATGGCACTGAAACGCTAATTTTATCGTATCTTACTTTACCTTGCTTTTGTGTTGTCTTTCTCCTGGTTTATGTCTTGATTTATCGTTGTCATGTCAATGGGTAGATTTTTGATATTTTTTTTCTAAACAGGACTATGAAATAGAGGCTGCAAAATATACATTCATGTTATCTTTCATTTTTTTTAATTTTTTTAATGTTTTATTTATTTCTAGGAGAGAGAGAGAGAGACAGAGACAGAGACAGAGACAGCGTGAGCAGGGGAGGGTCAGAGAGAGAGGGAGTCACAGACTCTGAAACAGGCTCCAGGCTCTGAGCTGGCTGTCAGCACAGAGCCGGATGCGGGGCTCGAACCCATGAACCGCGAGATCATGACCTAAGCGAAAGTCGGACACTTAACCAACTAAGCCACNCCCACAAACCGCGAGATCATGACCTAAGCTAAAGTCGGACACTTAACCGACTAAGCCACACAGGCGCCCCTCATGTTATCTTTTAAATATAAAAGACGCTTTCACAGCTATGACTATTGGTTTCAAAACTGCATATATGGTTCCCATCTTCCCCATAGGCTTAATTTAATATCTCCATGACCTTCAAGTGTTTCCTCCTTATAATAGAATTTCCTGACCCTTCACCAGGCTAGCTGTCCCTCTCAGTGCAGTCTCTGTACTAACTTCTTCTCTAAGGCAGCGTTTTCCTTCTTATAATGACGGGTTTGTGTGCATACAATTCTAATTTACCTTCGATTCCATACTAAAGATAATAGTAAGTTTTAAAGGCCTCCCCTCAGGGAAAATCATCAGAAAGAATGTAGTGTAGTCAACAGAAATGACGGTCTAAGCTGTTAAACTCACTTGCCAGCATTAAGTACTACAAGGCCATGTCCATACACCACCAGCGTTCTTCAGACAGAACGAAAGGGAGCATGTTTTGAAAAAAGAGTTCTGTTTTGTGAGTCCTGAGGGAAATCTAACAAGACCCAGGAATCCTCCACATAACAATGCTGTGATGCCCAGGCCTGGAAGTCTACTGTAATTGAATTAAACCAAGATGTCAGCCTAGAAGCCACATAGGGAGAAAAAGCTTTGATTGTCATGTGAATAAGCATCAGACAAATCAAATGCGATGGACTGAAAAAGGCCAGAGGCAAGAGTAGTTCTTACTGGAATAGAAAGGATAGATAGTTCTACGTAAGCTATGAAGCCACAGCGACAGTATCAATGCAGGACAGGCTGATCTGTTGAGGAGACTCAGGGTATAGGAATGAGGCCCAGAGAGCACAAGACCTGTGGCCACAGAAAGGTCACTTCCTGCGGCCCAGAACTGAGGGCTACAAATCTGGGGCCCACACTTGAGACAAAGAGACGAATCCAAGGGAGACTCCCACTAGATTCAAAAGCACCCCTGAATCAAACCCATTCTGGATTTCCAACAGAGTAGGGGTCAGGAAAGTTTTCTAGAAGGCCAAAGGATAAGTATTTTAGGCTTGTGGACCAGAAGGCAAAAATCAAAGATATTACATAGTAACCATACAACAAAAGAGAAAAAAAATTCCACAGATGTTTTATTGATAAAATTCAACATACGAAAATAGCTGAGTACAGTGTTTTTACTACAGGCCTTTTTTTTTTTTTTTTTTTTGAGAGAGAGGAGAGGGGCAGAAGGAGGGAAGGAGGGAGGGAAAGTGAGGGGGAGGGAGAGACGGAGAGAGAAATGGAGGGGGAGAGGGAGATGGAAAGGAGGAGAGGGGGAGAAGGGGGAGGGAGGGAAAAGGAGGGAGAGAGAGAGATGAGACTCCCAAGCAGGCTCCTTGCTCAGTGCCAAGCCCAGTGCAGGGCTCGATCCCACAGCCCTGGAATCATGACCTGAACCAAAATCAAGAGTCAGATACTCAACCAACTGCACCCCTAGGCACCCTAATACAGGCCTGTTAATGAGGAAAATACAGCTCTTTTGAGAAGGACAACATTTATGTGACTGGAATTCAAAGTTACCTATCATTAAATTACCTATCATTATTCCTTTATAAAAACCATTCTCAGCTTGTGGACATAAAAAAACAGGTGGCGGCCCAGATCTGACCATGTGGCCACCATTTTCCAGCCACTACAAGAGAGGATGTGCCAATCCCTACAGCTACTTCAACTGTGGAGCGGCTCATATTTTCATGCTATCATCATCAGCACCAAACATCAAAAAAAAAAAAAAAAAAAAAAGATGTGAAAAGCTGTTCGGTCTCACTCTAATCAAACAGTGTAAAAAAAAAATCAAATGAGTTATTCTTTTTTCTACAAGACAAGTAAAAACCCAAGTCACCTTCACACTCGCACACAGTCACACTCACACGCCAGAACATTCCCTCGGGAGAACAGAGTGGCTAAGGATTTTATCGGAGCCAAGTAAGCGTGAAGCTAACACTTTCACACGTGCAGAATTTGGTAAAGATACCGTCCAGAAACACTTCTTGTAAAATGTATGCAATAAATTCCACCCTCAGAGAGATGAAGGCAAAAATATGGCAATAAAGACAACAATGGTAAGAACACTAGACTCATTTTAAGAATAGAATTAGGTCAAAACAACTACCAGACATATGATTACACCAACAGAACCCCGACTGTACAGGAATAACAGGGAAGAACTGAGAAAAACAAGGAGGGGAGAAGACGTACACGGAACATGGGGAGCACGGGGGTTCTCCATCTTTTATGTACACGGTCACAGACACAACTTAAAGCTGATAAATATGTCCATATGACTTAAAAGTATAAAGATACCCATAAAAGTAACTAAAATGATAATATATGCAATAAAAATTTGGGAGTACAAGGTAGGTAACAGTTAAAAGTGTAAATGCATAGGGGCGCCTGGGGGGCCAACTTCATCTCAGGTCATGATCTCACAGTTTGCAGGTTCGAGCCCTGCATTGGGCTCCGTGCTGACAGCTCAGAGCCTGGAGCCTGCTTCAGATTCTGTGTCTCCCTGTCTGCCCCTCCCTTGCTCGCGCTCGGTCTCCATCCCTCTCTCAAAAATAAACCCCCCTCCAAAAATTTTTTAAAATAAAAACAATGTAAATGCATTAATTATGTTCTAATTTCTTCATTTCACAACATGGAGTCAACAGATGCTACCTAACACCCATAGATAACAAAATAAAGTTTAAAATATATACTATGTCATAAGTCTAGAACTGAAATAATGCATGAACCTTTCAAAATATCAGAAGCAAAACACAACTATGTGTTTACACAAAATTTACAACACAATAAATAGACCAATCAGTCAATCAATCAAGGATAATTGTGGTTGACTTCACTAGGTTGCCTGTATAATATTCATTCCCTCCTTCCCTTCCCCAGATAGTACCCTAGGGGAACAAATTATCAAGGGATAGAGATCGAAAAAATGACAACAGGTTAAACAGTAGAAAGGACAGAATGTCAAATCTGACAGAACACTCATCAGGAGTCTGGAAGGAAAGAGAGAACGGGGAATATAAAGACTGAGAGTTTTCCAGACACTGATCTACAGTTTCACAGAGCTCCACAAATCCTAAGCAGGATAAATATATCCTGTATATACAGACATGTGTACGCACACACCAAAGACAAAAAGGAGATCACAACAGCAGCCAGAGACAGATTACTTAAAACAAAAACCAGAGTATAAGCTTCTTTATAGCACACATGCACCAGTGTGCACATGCACACACACAAACACACACACCTAAAACAATAGTATAACATCTCTGATGTTCTAGGTGCTGTCAACTTAGAATTTTACACCTAGCAAAAATATATTTCAAAAATGAAGGCAAAATAAAGACATTTCAGGCAAATAAAATCAATAGACACATAAAATATACTCTGCAAGGACTTAAAAAAGAAGGAATACGATCCCAAGAGGACAGGTCTAAGATATAAGAAATAATTATCAGCAGAAGTAATGAATATGTGTAAATGTAAATAAACACTAACTGCATAGCAGTAAATATTTCTTGTGGGATTAAAAGTGAGATGGAACTAAACACTACAACAACCACACAGAGGTCAGGAGAGGGGACCAAAATTAAAGTAAGATCATTGGATTTTCTGTAGGGAGACTGAAGTTGGTTAAATTGACACTTTGGTAAGTTAAGCATACATCTTAAAATTTCTATGGTAACCACAAAATAAGGTGGCAGAAATAAACCAAAACATATGAATAATTACAGTCAATACAACTAGACTAAATTCTCTGAAAGTCAAAGACAGAAAAATTGTGGGGAGGGGAGATCCAGTTATATCTTATTTAAAAGATAAATATCTAGGGGCGCCTGGGTGGCTCAGTAGATAAAGTGTCCGACTTTGGCTCAGGTCATGATCTTGTGGTTCATGGATTCAAGGCCTGCGGAAGACTCTGTGCTGACAGCTCGGAATCTGAAGCTGCTTCGGATTCTGTGTCTCCCTCTCTCTCTGCCCCTCCCCTGCTCACACTCTGTCTCTCAAAAATAAACAAAAGCTAAAAAACAAATTTAAAAAATAAGACAAATATCTAAAACAAAAGGATAAAAAAGAATGCAAGTAAAGGACAGGAAAAAGATATACCAGACAGCTATTAGGCAAATGAAAGATCGTACAGCTGTATTTATATCAGAAAAAATAGGTCGTAAGACAGTCACTAGATATAAAGAAGTTCACCGTATAATGATTAAGACTCATCTCACCAGAAAAATAAAACAGTTCTGAACTTCCACCTAACAACAGAACTTCGAAGTGTGCAATGCAAAATATGTAATTCAAAAACTGACAGAATAAAATAAATATAGTATGATAATGAAACATTTTGACAAATTCAGTTAATCAGGCCAACCCCCTCTGGCACTAAACAAAACAAAAACAAAACTAGTAAAGATACAGATTTTACTAATATAATTTAAAATTATGACTTAGCAAATACATTACGTACAACTCACAAAGTAAAGAATGCATGTATTTTTTTAATAAAATTTTTAAACATTTACTTTGGAGAGAAAGAGAGACAGAACGTGAGCAGGGAGACACAGAATCCTAAGCAGGCTCCAGGCTCTGAGCTAGCTGTCAGCACAGAGCT